GTGACCCCCAACAGAGTAGATCTCAAAGGAAACCTAATAGCGGACATCCCTAAGAACCCCGTGACCCTTCTAACAGTGCTCTTCATTTTTGCAGCCTACTTTCTTTTGTCTCTGTGGGCCGTGCGGAAAGACAGGGCTGAGATGATCAGCAAAGACAAAATTATAGTTCTGCCCGACAACGACCCCTTTGATAAAGTCAGCTTTTTGGTCACTTTGTACACCGGCAGTCGCTGGGGAGCTGGAACCAGCGCAGATGTTTTTCTTCAGCTCATCGGCCAGAACGGCACAAGTGATATCCACTGCTTGCGGCATCCACAGTTTCCTGCTTTCCGTCGAGGAAGCACTGACTGTTTTCTCTTGACTACGAAGGAAGACCTGGGAGACATCTGCGCCTTCAGGGTCTGGCACAACAACAGAGGCCCATCGCCAGGCTGGTTCTTAAGCAGAGCCAAAGTTGAACACGTGTCCGCTCAGAAGACCTGGTTCTTTATGTGCAGGAAATGGCTTGCCCTTGACAAGGGAGATGGCTTACTAGAAAGGACATTTTCCGTCACCAACCCAAAAGCACCTCTATCCAGAAAGGATTATTTTTTGATTGATCTGGCCAGTGGTCTGAAAGAGGGCCATCTATGGCTCTCCGTTTTTGCTCAGGTTCTCACTGGCACTTATAGCAGGCTCCAAAGGTTATCTTCCTGTCTAACAATATTATTATTAAACCTGTTCGTTAACATTATGTTCTTTAATGCTGACAGGGATGAAGAATCTCCAAGACACCTGAGGTACTTGAGATCAATTGCCATAGGCATTGAATGTGCTTTGATTACAATACCTGTGGAAATGATTATAATGGCCTTATTTAAGTATTCCCAGAAGAACCCAGAGAGAAGTCTAACTCTGCTTCCTATGAATCTTAAAACCTGGAGAGTACATTCGCAAAAAAGGAAACGTTCAGAAACGTCAGCACAATCTGGTAGCATTAGTTCCCCGGAGAACGTTGCTGCTCACAGCGATTCTCAGGGCCCGACGCATAACTTGAAGAGAAGAAGAACTGAGGGAAAGACGAGAAGCCAGGGAGCTCCCCAGAACAGCAGTAACTGCCCAGTTTCTGAAGGAGGTGCAAGTACCACCGGAGACAAGGAGCAAACAGGAAAGAATTCCCGTCCAAAGGTTAAGGCCAGGCGGAGACTACCGTCAAATTCCAGTTTCAGCAATAACTGCGCAAAGGAAGCAGGTAACTTGCAAGAAGAAAGCAAGCTACTCAGCGTTAGCTCTGTGCCTTTTAGCAAGAGACCACCCATAGTTTGTTGTTGGTGGTGTGTCTATCTCTCGTGGGTGTTAGTGATAATTGTAAGTGGGGTATCGTCATTTTTCATTGTACTGTATGGTTTGTCTTACGGCTACCAGACTTCGCTGGAGTGGCTTTTAGCGTCGGCAACTTCCTTTATTCAAAATGTGTTCTTTGTTTCAATCATAAAAATCAGTTGTTACTCAGCTTTGAACACAGTTCGTCCAAAATACTGTGAAAACATTCCATGGTTTACCCAGGATCTCTCTTCTGAGATTCAAGCAGAAAAGGAAGCAATGAATGAAGAAGAGATGCGGGAGAAGCACTTCAAGCTTGCCCAGATCAGAGACACCGAGCAGTACAAGCCTTTAAAAGATGAAGAAATTGCAAAGATGCTGGAAACGGCAAAAATTAAAGTCAAGGCATTCATTTTCATAAAAGATGTTATCGGTCACCTTGTGGTTTTAGCAGTTGTCTTATGTTTTGCTTATTCTACTGTGAACACTAACAGTTTCCACTACAACCAATTTATTCGGAACCAGTTCTCTCCCAGACTCCCTGCTGTGGTTAAGCTGGCAGATATTTACACGTGGGTGAACGACACCTTCTTGCCTTTGATCCACAACGACGTTCAGCCAACTTTTCTTACCGACAGCTCATCCAAAATCATCGGTTTGCCTAGGATGAGGCAAGTGCGGGCTAAAGGTACTGAGAAAACTTGTTTCCACCCTCACAGCTTTGTAAATAAATTTGTAATCAGTAAAAGCCACTGCCTTCACAAATACGGCAGGGACCTCGAAGAGAAAGGTGACTATGCTGGCACGTGGACAAAAGTCACCAACCGTTCTTTTTCCGAGGAAACCAGCAGTTACCCTGGGTTTACTTACCAACCAAACAGGGCTCCCTGGACTTACTTCTCATACGGAGATCTGCACACATACGGACCAGGAGGATACACGTTTTACTTTTTCCCTGAAGAAGGAAGACGTAATTCAACAACAAGGCTGGATTTGCTGCAGGAGAGCAACTGGCTTGATGAAAAGACCTGGGCTGTGATCATCGAACTGACTACGTTCATGTCTGATGGAGATCTCTTTTGCAGCATCTCAGTCATATTTGAACTGTCTGATTTTGGGATCATAAAACCAACTTTGTCAGTACACTCATTTGCTGTCCCCATTTTCCATCAGCAAACTAAAGGTCAACAATTGTTTTTCCTAGCTGCTGTTGCCTTTCTGCTCATGTACGTTGCAGATGGCCTCTACAGCATGGTCCAAGGAAAAAAAAATATTTCCAGGACCATCAGCTTCATCTTAAAATTGGCATTCCTCCTGATTATTCCTTTCCAGGTTTTAAAGTTCAAGATGGGAGCTGATATCGTTCATTTTTTCTTACTTTATCCAAACGATTTCATTCCTTTTCACGCAGCTTCTCATCTAGATCAGAATCTAAGGAATACTTTGGGCTTTTTGGCATTTCTTGCAGTTTTGAAGACACTAAAGTATTCTCAATTGTTTTACGAGGTGCGTCTGGCTCAAAGATCAATCTTGGCAGCCCTTCCTGGGATCTCCTCAATGGCCTCTGTGGTGATGGTGTACTTCTCTATCTTTATGGCTTTTGGCTACCTTGTGTTTGGCCAGCATGAATGGAATTACAATAATATGATTCACTCAGCTCAGACCGTATTCTCTTACTGCGTGTCTGCTTTCAGAGATACTGCATTTTCATCCAGCAGGCTGATGGGTGGTTTTTTCCTCACCTCCTTCCTGCTGGTGATGACCTGTGTTTTGATCAACCTCTTCCAAGCTGTTATTATGTCTGCCTATGGAGATAGGAAACAACTTGTCTGTGAAGAACCACCTGATGAAGCAAGAGCGGTTGCTTTCCTCCTGCAAAGGATGAAAAAGATGCTGTGTTTTCCGATCTGTAGAACGGCCAAAAGAAGTGACCCCAATCTTTGCCACGGTGTGCCCAACGGGCAAGCTGAGAAGAGAGTTCAGTGACATTCGGGCCTTGAGAAAAGAAAAGCAAACGGGGAAAAATGGTTTGTCTTGTAATAAGAGCAAAGCAAGATACTATTTTCCAGACCACCTCTAGTCTGTAACACTTGTGTTTCAAATAAATGTTTTAAATTATTTTCTTGTGGTTTTTTTCCATGGATTTTGTAGGATTTAAACTTTTGTTACTGAGATTTTCTCAGCAGAGACAAATTGTGCGGAGGATATTTTGCACCCATTTCAGCAGCACGTGTTGCTGGGGTGCAGTCTGCTGACCCAGCTGGGAAGGTAAGCGCCCAGCTAGTTGGTTGCTCACTGCCTATACAGCAGGATGGGCAGGGAATTGGAATGGCAAAGTAAGGAAAAAACAACACGTGGGTTGCAGCCTGTGAAAGAGGATTTCTGAACCCCTCTCTTTATTCTCCCTGGCTCAACGCTCCCTTTGTGAGGCTTTTTTGGTGATAAGACTCTATCTGAATACTGGGAATTTTCTAGGGGGGCGAGTGGTAGGTGTTACTGTGCCACATTACTTGTGGTCATGATTGTAGAGATAAGCAGAAGGGGGGCAAGGAGCCTTTTTTGGGGTGTGGCTTGAATGAGCCAACCACTGCAGAAAGCAGCAATGCTTGTCCATGGTATCAAAGGCACCACTCCCTGCTGGCTTATCTGGAGGGCCAGGAGCATGACCCTAACAGACAGAAAAGAAGAAGGAAAAAAATGAACTGAGAAACAGGGTATAAAAGGTCCCCACTCACGTAAGTACTTTGGAGAGGTATTCCCCAAGAAAAGAAACCACTCTGGTGGAGGAATTCCCTAAGAGTAAGAAACCCCTTAGGACAAAACCCACTGTGCCTTGCTTGCTGCCAACTTTCCTGGCTTTCTCCCATTCCCATGATATTTGGACAAGTTCCTGGCATCAGTGCAAAACTATGAGCTATGCTGGAAACTGTGGTGGTGACTTTCTCTCTTCCATTCTCCAAAGACTCCTCGCTTTTATTTTTGCAATTGCACTAGATAGCCATGCTGCTTAGCTTGTACAACTTGGGCAGCCTTTGCCACCACCACTGTCATCTCATGTACTGGGCACTGCTTGCCTGGCCAGGTGGGTCAACACAGATAGGGAGCAGGAACAATCACAGACCCACAGTGAAAACAAAAGAACACATTTCTTTTCCATTCCTCTCTAACCAAAGCATTCCCTCAACACTCAGGCAGAGGCACACAAGCATAGACACAGGCAACAACTGAAATCCACTCATTCCAGGGAGTCACCAGTCTGCTGCTCATGCCTGTTTATCAAGGGTTTGCACAAGTGATGTCTACCACTGTGCCGTGCTCTTCAGTAGGCTGTGATCTTTTCCACATCAAGACAGAAATGTCCAGCACATCCCACAGGGTACTTCACATGTAAGAATCACCTATATTGTCCGTACACGAATGTTCTGCTTGTCCAACATTCCAAGGATATCCTATCCTTCTCACCAAGCTTCCATTTTTAACCTATTCCTCCCAACATGGCCCTCATCTGCTCGCTGCCAGGCACCACCGCCTGCTGCTCCTCATCAGAGCATGCACTTGGGAAAAGAAATATCCCGAGCACTGTGCACACGCAGTGACCTTTCTGACCTGGCAGCTTGTGACAGCAATGGGCAGTTGGCAATATCCAAGATCACCTACTAGAAAGGACATATTCCATCACAACCCCAAAAGCACCTCTATCCAGAAAGGAGAAATTTATTGCTACTTGAGCAAATAACATGACAGGGGGCTGTCAGTGGTTCTACATACTTGCTCACTTTCTCACTGGCCATTACAGCAAAGGTTATCTTGTTGGTTAGCAATATTATTACTAAAGCTGCTCTTTAAGATCAGGTTCTTTAAAGCAGTCAAGAGTGAACAAGAAACTTTCTAGCTTGTGCATTACCTTTGCACTGCCCTTTTTTGTTGAAACAGAACTTTTACTGCCAAAAAGTCACTGAACCAAACATGCCATAAAGAGTGCAAACCATGGGATGGCTAAAGATTTTTTTTTTTAATTTATTATTACTTATTTTTCCAGAATGTAGAGAGAGGGGGCCATTGAGTGTTCTGTAGCGTTCCTGTTCTCAGTGCCTGCTGAAGAGAACTCCTTTTACCTGCTCTTTCTGTTTTTTCCTTTTACCGACCAGCTAACACATGAGCCACGCTGTCTCCAAGAAGTCTGCAACTATGTACCATAATAATTTTGCACTAAGCCCTCTTCCCCCACCTGCTGATAGTCATAATTTCCTTACCACTAAATAAATTTCTTATTAAGCGTGCTTACATGTATGTATCTGTCTCAAAAGGTGTGTGTCTAAATCTGTAACATAAACGTTTGAATTGTCTGGAAAGTTTACTGATTATTTAACATACTTTCACGAAGTAACAAACTGGGCCAATGAAGGACTGAAAGCCTGGCATTGCTACTGTACTGAATATGAGCACGCTCAGAGGGAGCTGCACAGAAACTCTACTAGAAAACGGTGTCCCAGGAAGATTCAGGTAGCTGTGCATTACAAGCAGGTAATCTTCTAATTTCCTAGTGGAATCATCCAGGATTTAAAGCTGTTGCATTTCAGGTTGTATCTTCCAAGTCAGCTGTCATCAGATCTCTCGCTCCTAGGGATTCTCCAGCATGCTTTACAGCACTGCATCCCTCCACCCAAAGCACCCAGACTTCGATTGATGAGCTTATTGCTAGCAGTGAGGACAGATTTATGCCACTGAATGAACAGCCGCTGCCCTCCTTATGAGTCGCTCTGTCATTGGTGAATTTGGTCTCATCACATCACGCTCTCTCAGGAGGCACCTGAAAAAGGAGAAGAAGTAGCAGGAAAACGGGAAGAAAGTCACTGAGCACATCGCTTTTCCCATAAGACTCTCAGCAACAGCCCTACAAGAGCAGGAAGACAACACCTAAAGACCTGCTCTTGATTTCCTTCACTGAAAACATCTGGCCTTGGCAGTCAGATCAGGCAGAAGAGTTCTTTCCAGCACTGACACAGACTGAAAACCAGCACGCAGAGGGCACACAACAGTCGTTCTGATATTCTATCTACTACTCGTGTTTCAAAAAGACTTCAAGAGGCAAACAGGCAAGGCTTCACGTTGTCCTGAGGAGACAGGCGTTCCTTTAAGTGCACAGCAGGCTCAGTTAACAAATTTAAACAGAACTCTCAGCAGGACAATGAGGAACACCTATGATTTCTACTAAACAAAACTCTTGTGATTTGCACAAAAGCAAGCAGGCATATCAGAATCTGTTCATCCTATTTGCCAGGAAAACAGCTGCTAGCATGAGGATAACCTTGATTTCCAGCAGGTCACCAAACCTTAGGAGTCCATTAAGTACACAACCAAGCGGCAAGATGCCACAGGGTAAGACAGAACATCTGAAAGTCAACTGCCCTTCAACAAACACAAACGAATCATCCATACTGTAAGACTGCCCTTCTGGAACAGACAGCTACTGCGCTTCTCATCTTAGTTAAGTGTTACTACATTCAGCGCGAATGCTTGCGTGTAATTTCAGCACGGACGCAGTTGTTTGGAGCTACTCTGCTACATCCTGACTTTAAAACAGTCCTGTCACCACAGAAAGAAAAAATTACCAGGAAAAATACTCACTTAGCGAGGTTTTGTTTGGCTTGGGATTTGCAATTTAAAGCAGCATGAATCAACAGCTGGCTGAAAACATCCCTCTGAAAAAAGAAGTGAGTCAAGAGCTAAGTTAGTAAGTAACCGAGAAAGTACTGCTGCTTACAAAACAGCCCCCAAGTGAAGTTTTCCTCTTGGCACCTTGAATAGCTGACACTGCTGGTAAGTGCTGGCAAACAGGACTCAGTCACAAGCACAGCTCGCTTGTTCCCTTTTCCAGGAATCAAGGGCTCTTAATAATGAAAGCACCTAAGGGAGGCTACTGAAAGTGGACCGAGTCACATCTCGGGTCGCATCTTCTGTTGATGTCCTTTACCTGAGCATTACTGCCTCCTAGCTGGATCAGTTGGTAACGGATCGGGTACAGCAGATCGACAGCTTTGTCACAGTTCCCATTCTCAAACTCCACCAAAGCCTGCAGTAATGGCAACCCCACACTGGAAGCCAGAGAAAGCTCGTGGTCTTCGCCAGGTTCTCTGTACAACGAGAAAGTGATTAACTCTCATAAATCAAATCAGAAATACGCATATTTAATGCCAGCCTGGAACTGCCTGCAGACAGAATTACTTCTGAGTCAACCAAGCGTGATATTTCAGGTACCATACTTACACGGTTACTTTTGCTGAGGTTATTTTACTTGCACCTTTCTATTATGGTGTAGTGCTTGTGGTGGCAATGGTGATGAGAGACCATCACTAGAAGATCTTATATGTTGTTACCAACCTTGTGACTCTAGGATTCCATCATTACTCATCAGTCATCAGAGAACTCTGCACTGATTTTAAATCTGATCAAGGTGTGAGTGAAAAACACAACGCTGTTAAGTTGAAAAGCTTCAATGCACGATTCATGCAAGTAAATGAACTCGAAAGCAAAATTCTCAAGAACTATTCCAGCACTGCTTAGAAACCAATTTCCCAGAGAGGGACTATGACAGTCTCACTACCAGCTAACTGTTACTTTCTTTTAAAACAGAGCAGAAAGAACCAGCACAGACAGCTGGCACACTGCACAGTGTCCGTATTGTTCTACAGGTGAAATCCTTTATCGCTGCACATTACGTAACTTAGTACGAACACACAGCAAGAAAATACAAGGCAAACGTTCCGTAGTGGCTGTGACAAACACAAGAGATTCTTGCTTACCACGAACAGAAGCTCCTCTCGACATCAACTCACAAAAAGAATTACAGAGATGACCTAAATGGACACTGCTCTATTTAAACCAGGCCTCACCCAGGGAGGCAGCAAAGCAGAGAGGAGCGTGTGGGAACACTTCTGCATCACTTCCGCATCCCTCAGATGCTCAGAGGCCAAAATATTTATTCAACACAGTACTTTAGTTCACGTAACCTACTTGGCAAGTTCTTGAAGAGTTGTTAAAAGCTCATTCGTAGTTTTGTGGTCTTTGGCTCCAAGGGAGGACATCAACACGTGTGCATCATTGAAAAGAAGAACGTGGTCTTTGCTGTGCTGCTTTGCACGCTTCAGGACATTGTCCCACCTGTCTCCAAGCTTCACACCTATCAGTAAAAGATATTATTTAAATAACAACACCAAGGGCAAGAGCATTGCTTAGTAGTATGTATCAGCATCATGTGCCATGGATAGCACTGCTACTGAACTCAAAAACACAGTCTCTGACGTGGCAAAATTATACTGCAATGTTTAGTTACTGCCTGCCTTATCCGGGCAAAGGGTTCACTGACTGTCAGTAATTTATCACCAATACTCTAGATTGCATTATGGGAGGATCTCTCTTCTTTAAGAGATTGCTACCATCTGCCTGGAGATGATGTTCATTCCAATTCACCCACAGCAATCAAATAACGCAGAGTCATAAGATGAATTTCATAAATAAACCCAATACACCATTGGTCTTTCAGTAGCATACAAGTAAAGTTACTCCTCTTTGCCTTGTTCAGGAATACAAATTTTAGCTTTGAAAATGTAACAAGAAATGCCAATGAGTTACAGAAGTACACAAAAGCCAGAGGCTAATCAATATCAAAATATGAAGTATTTAATTTGAAATTTGCTTAGAGAAAGCTCTATAGCTTTTTTAGAGGCTAACATACTTGATTTTTCATCCTCACATCTCCAGGGACAATGTAAGCTGAACTTTGAAATAAATAAATACGTGACCCATGTTAGCTTAAGCTGAATGAGATACTAACTCTATTCCACCCAAACCAATTCAGCTTATTATTATAAATATCACACTGGGGCTTTTCTCAGGAGCAGAATGGCAAGATTTCTTCTGCAACACTGACCAAGCTTGCTCTCTAAGTGTCTTCAAACACTTTTCTGACATGCCAGGGTGTGTGTTGGAGGGGGAGACAAAAAGAAAACCGTTCCCCTTACTGTTTAAAAAGAATTACAGTTGGATATCATACCTTCCAGGTGAAGCCTGTACAGCATCGAAGAGCTATCTACTAAATCCAGCATGCTTCTACCCGACAGGAGCCTGGGAGCTATCTGTAATCACAAGTGCTCATAAGCTGTATTACCAGGAACTTACTCAGATAATTAAACTTACATGCACTGCACAAAATCATGGTAGGTTTCAATTTCTTGCAGAAGGAAGAAAACACATATCACAATCTGCAGCATGCCCTTCAATAAATATAAAAGGCTCCTACTCACATGGTTGTCATAAATTGTCAAAGCGGCCTCATGTTCCCCCTGTAAAAGCAAACAAGGACCATGTGATTAATATTCTGGAAGACTAAGCAAGAGTGATGGGTAGCAACCAAAGATATAAATACAATTAAGAAATGCCATAACATTACATCATTGTCTCCTGACTTCAGAAACAAAAAGAAAAAAAGAACAAAAAGAAAGAAAGACCAAGATAAAGCAGGATGTACTAGCTAAAATAGCCAGTATATTTAATTTGCTTTCAATAATGAGAACAAATACTGGTGCGTGTTCCACACAAAGGAGAAAGATGAGGTTTCATCTCTTTCTCATCTTTCTTTCAGGATTCTTTGCAAAAAAATACTGTTTCATAAAACATGCACTTTCTTAAGCAAGCTGTAAAAAAGATCTGTATGGACAGAAGGTGGCAAAACAAACAAGGTACTAGACTACTGTTGAGAGCTATGCTTTCTATGTCATTACTATGAAGCATAAACAACTGATTGAGATTGTGAGATAAAGCAGGATGTACTAGCTAAAATAGCCAGTATATTTAATTTGCTTTCAATAATGAGAACAAATACTGGTGCGTGTTCCACACAAGGGAGAAAGATGAGGTTTCATCTCTTTCTCATCTTCCTTTCAGAATCCTCAACTACTGTTGAGAGCTATGCTTTCTATGTCATTACTACGAAGCATAAACAACTGACACTGTGTTCTGACCAAAGGACGGCACCTCTGCAATGACATTGGGCTCAATTCATTAAGGAGACAAATGTGACCAGTGCTAAGCATTATGAACTCCAAGGAAATTCTGCACTGCAACCTGATATGCTGGGCAAGTTGCAATCGTTACTAAAGAGTTTCACTAGATCCTAAATCACTTGAATTACAGAGATTGAACTACAGAGATTAGTGTCTTGTTTCAGTCAGTCAATTTTGAGGTCAGCAGCTTTGCACTGAATTTGAAGAGAACTTTCTGTAATTTTGTTTTCTAAAAATAGGTGATCCAAGTTCTTATATCCATCAAATAATCGTGCCAGGTGTAATCAGTGAGATTATTTCACAGCAATCCTTCAACATTCCAGCAAAGATGATGGATCTTTGTTCGGTGTAATTAAAAGTTGCCAAAATAATGGTACTACAGGACTATCCAGTAAAAACATCACTGTGCTATTTTATAACAGCATCCCTTGAAATAACCTACAAATCCCTATACATGCTAGGACTGCCTTTTAACTAGCATTGGATGAATCCTCTGTCTGGACCGTAAATCATCAGTACGAAAATATCTCATACCTTTTCCATAAAGTATAAAGCCCAGTGCCAGTAATTGTGGCAAGCAAGCATATCACTGCCCTGCAAAAAAGAAAAAGGAGAGAAATGTTATGGTTTACACAATAACTTCTCATCTCAACATACCTAGGCGGATTTCGGTTTTCCTCTTCAACTGCCGAGTGCTCCAAAAGACAGGACAGACAAGAACTTCACATCTGCTGGCCTACATGAAATCTCTCACTCTTACACTCGCTCCTTTCCAATTCAGGCAGACACTACAAAAACCAAAGTTTCCCCAAGTCTTTTTGCAGAGAAGAACTGCGCTTGGATGCCTCAGGAGAATTCACCCTTTTGCAGCACTCCTTCGGAAAAAAATCCACAAACTGTCTATCACAAGAGTAAGATTTGTCTCATCTAACATGTAAGGGTCTTGACTGAAGCAATGTGGCTGGACAGTGTGCAGGAAAGGCCCACCTTATGAGGGCCATTCCTCCTACTCACCTAGATTTCCATCTCAGACTGAGTGATCACTTCTCAAACTTATGTCTTACTACTGACCACAAAATAGATACCAGATACGTGGGCAGTTCCTCAGATGAGATGAATATTCCCTGACCATTACCAACCTCGCACCATACTTCCCAGCTGACGCCAGGAGCTCAAATGCTCTTTCCTAGCCCGTATTTCGAGGCAATGTAATTGCTGTTAACTGTTGTGAGCAAGCTGGAAATAGACAAACAGGAATATAATTCCATTATCCTTAAGGGAAAAACCAAAATACCAGAAAGTTTTTCTGTTCTCATTCTCCCTCAACACAGTAGTTAAATTTAATCTACTCACAAGTAAAAAAAGCATCTTCATTATCATGCTGGCAAGTGCTTCAATTGCAGGAAGCATAAAGATACCCAGTGAATGTCAGAACTTTTTCGAGCTGCAGTAAGTCCTGTAGGAATCTTTCCTTGTTTAATATTACACCACAAAATCAACAGCAGCAGCTCAAAAGTTAAGTGTTAGGCCTAAATCTGATCATACCACGTTTACTATCGTATGAACATACCAAACAACATATGAATAATAGTATGGGATATTCACTGAATAAAACAAAACCCCTCTTCTGCTGCTGACCTGGAGTTCTGAATGAGATTAAATTGCTAAATGAGAAATGGGCAACAAGTAGAGCCCAAATACTCTGGCAGTACAGATAGGTAATCCCAATCATTAGAAAATTGATCACTCCAAAAACAAGCAACTATAGTTAAGGCTTTAGAGAGCTCTGCTTTCTTCCACATGGTTACATCTTAACTGGCTTCAGGATGGCTAAAATGAAAAATATTGCATAAGTGAATATATACGTTTCAGTATGACAACGTCAGCTATTATAAGCCTTATTATGACAACGTCAGTTGTTATAAGTCTTAACTATACTGGACCAGGCAAGAGGATATATCAGACAATTCTACTTCTGCTTTATTCCACATTTTGTTTGATTCATATAAAGGCTATAAATGATAGAGACATGGAACTATTTTAAGAAACAGAGTCCAAAACAGAGCCATTTCAAAAATGGTTGTTGGTGGTTTTGAAGGTGCCACCCAAACTGTCATTAAAAGTACTGTGTCAAAGGATGAGATGCCTTCTAAAGACATGACAGATATGAACCTCAAGAGATGGTTGTTTGCACATCTAAGCTTGATATCTGAACAGATTAAAAACACCTGAAAAGTAAACCATCCATCTAGTCTCATTATCCGGCCTTATTCTTAGGGTGAGGAGAAATGATGACCTCAGTTGACTGAAATAATTTCCTGGGACTTCTCTCAACAGCAAACCACACAAGCTCCTGCTCTGAACATTACTATATTACCTGCTTCACGGGTAATGGTCAGGAAAAAACAGGCTGTACATCACAAACAAAAATTAAGGTTTAGTTGCAGCAAAGGACCACATAACAGACTAATTAAGCTGTCCAATACAATGTTTTTCTATATAACAAACTAGTCAGACACACAAAGCAACTTCAGAAGACTAGTAAAGAGACAGAAGCATCATTTCTCTTTTATTTTCTTACAGTTGACATATGAAGCCTTTCAGATCCAGAAGCAAAGAAAACTGACCAAACTACAAAAACAAACAAAGAAACAAACAAACAAAAACACCAAAAAAAAAAACCAAACCCAAAACCAACCACAAGAACAAACTAATTACACGAGCTTTCTGAACTGTGTGTTTTTGATGTGTTATTTCACAGCTCATCTTTGGTCATTTTTGGTACTGACGTCTGATTCACAGTCTAAGCAAAAGGCATATGAAAATATAATTGCCCACTTTGCTGCTATGAACATGTGCATATCAATGAACCATAATAATCACAGCAAAGTTTTATCTGATGCCACATCTGCCAGCAGTGACCATGGCTTTATGTCACAAAAACATCATGGTGTGTGCATGTACAACTTACACTCTTGTTGAAAAGCAGCGTGTTGTTTTACTTAAACAATACTCCCAGCTAACATAAGGCATTGAGAGAGGACACACTGCATGAACGCTTCCCAACTCGTGTGCAATTTGGCATCCGAGTAATCTCAGTAAAGATGGCTTGAAGTGGTCCACAGCACGTGCCTTTCAGAATGGACATTTTTCTGCCTCTTGCTTCAAAATCAGCATGGATAACAGCACCTCAAGTGAAGCCTTCTACTCATTTCTGAAACTTGCATTGCTTGTAACACATACACAGGCAGAAAGGAATGAGATGAAGAACTGCAGGACTTGGCTGGAGCAGGCAAAGACGACCTACAAAGATATTTTTCAGAGATGCTGTGACAAAGCTTACCTTCCAGTTGTCTTCTGTTTCCTTCATGAACGCCAACCCTTTCTCCACCTCTGCTTTCATTTCATTTACGTGAGCTACAGTATGAACAGACCACGCATCTGTCCGCTCTATATCCAAAGCCTATGAGTGAAAAAAGGAAAACGTGATGATTCTCTCAAACTGGCAAATAACCATTTATTACTGGTGACAGGGAAACAAGAGATTAATTCTACTGGCTGGATGTTAGGTACAACCCTGGCCTGCTCCAACCAGCTACACCTGAAAGACTGATTTGGACAGAAAGGAAGAAAAAGTTTTCTGGTTAATTTCCTGAATTCTACTGCACAGAGGTGAACATGTGCAAAACAGCTTCAGAATGCAGGATTCAATGAAGCTTATCCAACAACATTTCATTCCACAGACATACGTCAGAACTGGCCATGAGAGAGTTGCATGCACAGGCATAATACAGTCTACAACAGTTCCTTGCAAGCAAGTGCTTTTTTCTTCAAGACCACAGCCAGAACTGAATACGGAGTAAATAACTCCTTCTTGCTCCAATTGCCACAGTATCTTAGCCATTTTGTAAGGTTAGTGAGTAGCAGTTTCATCTGCCCCTGATGCAACAGAACCTTGCCAAGACACCCATTAGAGATCAACTCCATCCAAGACCACAAGGCAACAGCAATAATCCTGAAGACTGCAGAAGATCAAACACAACTACTGTCGTTATAAAAAGGGCATATGCAGACTAATTTTGATCCCCAGGAACACTGTACACTCAGCTGCTCACTAATCCGTGACTATGTGTCTGGAAAAAAGAAAAAAAAGGGAACCCAAGAGAGGGAACCCAAACAGAATGAACTGTCAAGAGCAGATTACAATAAATCAATTTAACATTCTTTACTAGAAATTAACAGCCAGCTACACTTAGGGGGATGCAGCAAAAGGCATAGACGAAGGAATCCTACTAAGGGATAGTTATTAACAGTTTCCTATGAAACTGAGCATTTCCAGTAGCTCTTTCCTACTTCTACTAAAAATTGCAATAACGAAGAGTCAGTTTACAGCATTTGTGCAAAACATCACTCAGAGATAGGGAGCACATGACTAACAACTCTGAAAACATTTCACCATCAAGAACGGGCAGTTTACCTCACGGGCAAGCTTCTCTGCACGATCAAAAAAGTTTGATTCCATGAGTCCAAAAGCATAGTAGCCCTTCACGTAGCTAAGCAAAACAGAAAAGAACACTTCACTCATTCAGAACTAGATTTAAGCAAGGAATGAAATACATACTAGAAACAGCATTTAACTAAAACCAGTCCTTGCAATGTATTTCCTGACCAATAGGAAGAGCTCACAGCCTACCTATTATAAATGTGTGTACTTAACAAAAGACCAACCCTCCCTCATGCCCAACAGATATTCTAAAAACTAATTGCATGGCCCGAAGCATAACATGGAACTGGGAACACAATTTTCCCAATGCTGAACTGTAGATAATGGAGACAATATTTAGACTCAGTGTCTCCATTCCTGTAGTTAGTCTCAACCACTGTCGTGCCATTTTTCAAATTCAACTTTGAATTTTACCAACAAGGGAAACAGAAATCATCCACAAGTGACTTCAGATTTACATTTCAAATGTGGTGAGTGGGAGTGTGTCAACACACACTCTGGTTTGTGAAAGTGACTACTCCAGCTCCTTCAACCCACTAGGCTGTAAGCGAAAGACATCCACTGTCAGGCTGCTGCTGGTGGCGGTGGCAAACCACATTGCTGTTATAGGACTCACAGGATTCAAGCTTGCAGAGTACAGAACAATGAGCTACTCCTCGTAGGAAAGGGGAGGCTCAAAAAAGCCATCACAGCAATCAGTGACAAGAAGCATACCACCAATAATTTAAGAGCTGCTGACATTTACCCTTTTGGATACGCTGGAATTAAGAGTTGCACAGAGCAATTGTAAAAATGAAAAATCAGGTGCTCAGAAGTAAGAAAGTGCTGCCACCAAAGTTACCTGAATATCTCAAAAGTAACACATATGACTGCAGCCATCTACACTTTCTTCACTGTCCACTGTACGCAAGTACCTTAATGCAATGTGGCAAAGGTTGCATCATTAAGCAATAAAGGCCCAAAGAAACTGGGCTGTTACAGGCTCCTGGGATTAATGCTCCTTAATTGTACCCAATTAAGTGGATAAGAGTTTGCACTTTGGTAGAACTGTGCCAAAAAAATTTTACTAAAGCTCGGTCCAAACTGCTAAGTCCAACCTTCCCAACAAACGACATTAGCATAAATAGTACATAAAAACAACAAAGGATTTCACATTTTCGTCAGCTGACACTGAGGGAAAAATGACACTGCCTTCTGAGCCGTGAGACTGCGCGATGCCATAGCTTCATTACTAGCTTAATATTCAGCTCACACTGTCTTCACTGTTTGTGGAAGAGAATAGCATTCTGTCCTGCATATTGAGGTACACAGGAAAAAAAAGGAAAAAAGGAAAGGGGCACACAAGAGCCTGAGGGCATTTTGCCCCCGCCTGCAGTGAGTGCACCATTCCATCTTAGGCGTTACATGACACGAGCCTTATCTGACAGCAAAAGTCACTGAGTGAGCCACTGCTCACTCCTGAAAACTGAACAGAACAACCTCACTAACAGTGTCAGCAGGGATGCGGGGGAGATGATCGAGCTGGCGTCACCCATAATTCACTCAACTTCATCTAGAAGCTGTTAATCTTGTCTGCACTCCTGTTTCTAACAAATCCTATTATTTAGATGTGTTGAACCGAAAACAAAAGAGTAGGCATACATCAGATACGGAGCAATTTTGAAAGTGAAGCATGACCTACCTGCTCAGAGGAACGTCGGGTGTCCAGAAAGGAAAAACACGAGCAACAGAATCTCGCATTTGTATTTGATATCCTAAGTAGAAATAAGTGTCATGGGAAAATTTGAGGGCTAGCAAGTCAGTCGGATGGTTCTGTAGAATCTGTTCCCATACATCACAAGCTTTTGGAAGCTGTCTATAAACAAGAATTTTAAACGTTGAAAGAGGACATGCATACCTGCCCCTGCTGTCAGTTCTAAACTCCTCCTATTCTGAAAAAGAGAAGATTCAACAACAAATGCCTTTTTCTTCTTGAACAAATTTTAGTTACGTTTGTGTTTTCCTTTGAGAAACAATGACAGTGTTTAAGCAGGGCACTTACTGGGAAATCACATGAGAAGTACTCTTACAAAAGCTGCAAAAGGCAAGGCAAAAGAGACAAGCTCGAACCATGAAGATTTTCCCGAGATTGAACGTGAACTTGGGACAGAGAGATCTGCTGCTACCTGCTTGGGAGCTGGAAGGCTCTGCAGATGGATCTGGAGAGGCTGGATCAAAGGGCTAAGTCCAACTGCATGACATTCAACAGGGCTAAGCCCCCAGTCCTACACTGGAGTCACAACAACCCCATACAGTGGTACAGACCTGGGCACGAGTGGCTGCAAAGTTGCTCAGCAGAAAAAGAGCTGGCGGTGGCTGCTGGCTGACAACCAGCTGAATGTGAGCCAGCAGTGTGTGCCCAGGCAGCCAGCAAGGCCAATGGCATCCAGGCCTGCATCAGAAATAGTGTGGTCAATGAGAGGAGGAAAAGGATTGGGCCCATACTCAGCAATCGGGAGGCTGCACCTTGACTACTGAGTTCGCTTTTGGGCCTCTCACTACAAAAATGATACCGAGTTGCTGGAACACGGTCACAGAAGAGCAACGAAGTCAAAGGACTGCAAAACAAGACATTTCTGGAGCAAGAGAGGGAACAGGCTGTTCTGTTGGGAAGAGGCTAAGGGGTCTTGTCACGGAGTTGACCAGATCAATCTATGTCCGTGACAGGGGTGACAGGCCTCTGCCCTCCCCCACCACCCCAGTCCCACAAAAATGGGAAGGAAGGAAGGGAGGAAAAGAGCAGCGGCTGTGCTTGTTGTGTAATCAGCGCAATCCACTTACTCCAAGTGGCATCAGTAGCATGATGGGTGGAGGGAACCTTTCCTTTAAACATTCAGTTCAGCACTGGCAGTCAAGGTGCCAGAATGAGCTGTGTTTCAGTACCGACTACTTCAGAAGCAGCCCGAACCCCCTCAATAAGCAGCTAAGATCTCCTTCTCATTTGGAGTGTAGCCCTCTTACGACCCCCTGTAGGCTCAACTCCAGAATCCCAGGGGTCGGCCTCGGGTCTCTCCTGAGGCTCTTTGCCACAAACTCCAAGTGGGACCGTTCTCTCCAGCAGCAGTATAGAGGATATTCTTTATACCTTGTCCCATCCGTACTGGCCTGGCCCAGTTGTCAGCAACTGCGAAATTGCGAGACCCCCCCGCGGGGTCTGATGTGCTAAGCTCCCTCCCTGCTCTAATGATTGATGTGTGATGTAGGCCCCTAGGGGCGTAGACGAAGTAATTAAGCTATATAAGGTAGTTAATACGGGTAATAAACGCCATTTTACTGCTCATCATATTGGTGTCACCTCAGTAATTGGCCAAGCTGCGGTCTCCTGGGGAAGCGGAACGGGCGCGGACTGTAACATGTGGTGACCCCGACGTGATCCCTGGGAGTGAGTCAGCTGTCTGCCGGAAGCAGGAGCCCACTGCAGTGGCGGTAAATTCAAATCTGCGGAATAGTGGAAGCCCGGGGACGGGGAGGAGGTGGCCATTACTCCTCGTCAGGCGGGAGGCTCGGGAAAAGGAGCCAAGATCCCCCTAGGACGCTAGGGGAAAGACGCCAGAAGAGGCCAGGTGTACGCTCGGCCGGAGGCGTTATGGAAGCCGTTATAAAGGTGATTTTACATGCATGCAAAATTTATTGCGGGAAAAATGTTCCTTCTAAGAAGGAGATTTCGGCAACGCTTTCGTTGCTGGAGAAGGAGGGGCTATTATCATCCCCTTCTGACTTATATGATTCTGATAAATGGGATTCGTTTACTGCCGCTCTCTCACAGAGGGCAATGCTTACTCAGAAAGCAGCAGAGTTTAAGGTGTGGGGATTGATTTTAATAGCTCTTAAGAAAGCGAAGGAGGAGAAGATCGCAGGTGACCGTGCTAAGGAGCTGCTGGGGTTAGGGCCAGGGGGGGGTCTTGTCTCCCCTACAGATTCGCCGGAGGGCAAGATGGCGCTGACTCCTTCGGCCCCACCAGAAACAACAACCCTGGAGATAAAGAAGAACGAAGTGAAGCAGGAGCGGTCATACCATAAAAAGGAGGACCCACCTCCGTACCCGGCTCGCAGCATATATCCTTCACTTAAGCCCTGTAAAGATAACGGGGAAGGGGGGCCGGTGGAGGAAAGCAGTACAACTTCTAGCACAGTTGATAAGAGGGTCCTTGAGAAAGGAGAGATGTCTGGGGGAGCTGTGATACCACCTGTGGAATGCGACAGTGGGGGCGGGACTCACCTACTGTCCGATTCTGCCTGCTGCTGCAGCCACTCCCCACGGGGCGTGGATTGTCCCGCACAGCGTTGCTGTGGGGGGGGCGTTCCGACGGAGATGGCCTCAGGGTCTGCCCAGGAGGGGCGTGGTCCCGTATCGACAGCTTCATGGGGCCCGCCTACCCTCGCTGACTGGGCTCGAGTGAGGGAGGACATACGGGCTGCAGATCCAGCAGGTGTCGCTCTCACTTTGCCAGTGGTGATGAGACCAGAGGGTCCAGCTTGGATTCCTCTGGATTCCAAAGCGGTTACTCGTCTTGCGGATTTAGTTAAGAGCAAAGGCCTGCGTTCCCCTGTCACTATGGCAGCAGTGGAAGCTCTTATGGCTTCTAGTCTTTTGCCATATGATGTGGTGAACCTTATGCATGTTATTCTTGAGCCCGTACAATACACCCTGTGGCATGATGAATGGGATAGATTACTTGAAGCTGTGGTGGCTGCTGCCACCCGTGACCCCCACCATCCAGCCAACGGCCAGCGCAGAGGCGATAGAACTAATCTTGCACGTCTCCAGGGCCGGGCAGATGGAATGGTGGGATCCCCGGAGGGCCAAGCAGCTATGCTCAGAGCAGGAGAGCTGGCAGCCGTTACAGTTGCAGCTCTTCAAGCCCTGTGAGAATTAGCTAAGGTTGCGGAACCTGTGCTTCCGTGGGCAGACATAAAGCAGGGCCCCTCTGAGTCATTTTCTGATTTTGCGTCCAGCGCTAATTGGAATGAATCTCGCCTTAGTAAGGAAGCTTCTACAACATGATGATCTGCATCGACTATTAAATCGCATCAAAGATAACGGACAAAAGACCTTGATCACCATCCATCATGACGTGAAAGAGATACATCGTGTCTTGGAGAGAGTAATGAAGGCTGGAGAACATCACTGGTGGGAGGTTCTTTTTGGTTGGTCTCCCACAGCAACGGGAATGTTTAACTTTATACTGCATCCAGTAGTTGTTATATTAGGTTTAATATTATTGTGCTTAGTTCTTATAGTTATATTATATGTAAAGACATGGCGCTTGTTAAAGCAAGTGTCCCAGCTTGATTTAGTGTTAAATAGGGATACACTGCATCGTTTCTTGTAAGACTTATCTTAAGGCTAATAGACGGTTGTAACGTTAAGGTAGAATTTATATAAGATTTTAAGATATAAGATTTTAAGATTTTAGGATTATTAAGTTAAATAGGTTGTTATTAAATTGACAGATTATAGGCTATTAGGATAGGATGTTTTGCGAATCGGGTTGTAACGGGGCAAGGCTTAACCGAGAGGACAATGGCATGTATAGGCGCAAAGCGGGGATTTCGGGGTGTACGCGGTTAGGGTCCTCTCGAGTTGTAGTATGCTTTTTGAGCATGGAGAGGGGGAGATGTTGTCAGCAACTGCGAAATTGCGAGACCCCCCCGCGGGGTCTGATGTGCTAAGCTCCCTCCCTGCTCTAATGATTGATGTGTGATGTAGGCCCCTAGGGGCGTAGACGAAGTAATTAAGCTATATAAGGTAGTTAATACGGGTAATAAACGCCATTTTACTGCTCATCATATTGGTGTCACCTCAGTAATTGGCCAAGCTGCGGTCTCCTGGGGAAGCGGAACGGGCGCGGACTGTAACAGGCCACGGCACGGGCTATCTCCTGTTTAATCTATTCAAAAGCCTGCTGCTGCTCAGGGCCCCATGTAAACTCATTTCTCATTCGCGTCACATAATAAAGGGGGCTTACAATGAGGCTGTAGTTTGGAACATGCATTCTCCAAAAGCCCACTGCACCCAGAAAAGATTGTGTCTCTCTTTTGCTAGTGGGTGGAGACATAGCAGTGATTTTGTCGATCACATCTGTCAGGATGTGACGACGGCCATCTTGCCACTTTATACCTAGGAACTGAATCTCCTGGGCAGGTCCTTTCACTTTGCTTCGCTTAATAGCAAAACCAGCACTCAGAAGAATTTGGATTATTCGCTCTCCTTTCGTGAAGACTTCTTCTGCTGTATCGCCCCACACAATGATGTCATCAAGGTACTGCAGGTGCTCAGGAGCACTGCCCTGTTCCAATACAGTTTGGATCAACCCATGGCAAATGGTCGGGCTGTGTTTCCACCCCTGGGGCAAACGGTTCCAGGTATACTGAACGCCCCTCCATGTGAAAGCAAACTGTGGCTTACATTCTTTAGCCAAAGGAATGGAAAAGAAGGCATTAGCAATGTCAATGGTGGCATACCATTTGGCTGCTTTTGACTCCAGTTCATAGTGGAGTTCTAACATGTCCGGCACAGCAGCACTCAGTGGGGTGTGACTTCATTCAGGCCACGGTAGTCCACCGTCAGCCTCCATTCTCCACTTGCTTTACGCACTGGCCATATGGGGCTGTTAAAAGGCGAGTGAGTTTTGCTGATCACTCCCTGGCTCTCTAGTTGACGAATTAACTTATGAATGGGGAGCAAGGAATCCCTGTTGATGCGGTACTGCCGCCTGTGCACCGTTTTTGTAGCAATCGGTACCTGTTCCTCTTTTACTCGCAGCAGCCCCACAACAGACGGATCTTCTGACAGGCCAGGCAAAACAGACAGCTGCTTAATGTTGTCTGTGTCCACAGCAGCTATTCCAAAGGCCCATTGATACCCCTTAGGATCCTTGAAATGCCCCCTTCTGAGATAATCAATACCTAGTGTACCCCATGAGCCCCCCGGGCCCCTGGGCCCGTCACAATAGGATGTTTTTGCCAGTCCTTACCAGTGAGGCTTATCTCGGCCTCCAACACAGTCAATTCTTGAGAGCCCCCGGTCACTCCAGAAATATGGATTGATTCTGTTCCTTCATGACTCGAGGGTATCAGAGTGCACTGTGCACCAGTGTCCACCAGTGCCTTATATTTCAGTGGTTCCGATGTACCAGGCCATCGAATCCACACAGTCCAATATACTCTATTATCCCTTTCCCCCCCCGACTGAGGGCAGGGCCCCTCTATTCATTACCTGTGGTAACTGGAGCAACTGCACTGGTGGTTGATCTGCTTTGTAATTCTTTCACCCGGGCTCGTAGTACAGGAGTAGGTTGACCGTGCCACTTCCCCATGTCTTCTCCATGGTCACGTAGGTAATACCATAAGGCAATTCGCGGTATTACCCCTTGAGCCGGAGAGCGTTTGCTTCTGACAGCTGAGATCTTTGATGGTGCACGTGAGAAGGAAGGTTCTTCGTCTTTAGTTAGGTGGGCTCGCAAAAATTTCATCATCTCCTTCAGCTCCTTTGCTAGACTCATTTGATTATCCTGATCTTCATCAAGCGTCTCTGATACTGCTACAGGTTTGTCACGGTTAATCAGTTGAGACACTTGCTCCGTCATCATTCTTGATATAGCAGCAACGGCAGCATGAATTGGGGACAGCAATTGTTCGTAGTTTTGGAGCGTAACAATTAATTCATAAACTAAGGGCGTTCTCTGTTGTTCGTTGAATCTGTCACACGCTGACATTAGTGTGGCGGCATATTTGTCCGGCGCTGTTGTCATGAGTTTCTGCCATATCTCAGGCGTTGTCCTCACTTTTTCAGGGTCACGGTTTTGGTGTGGGTGGTTAGGAACAAAGTCAGGGTCATACAACATTTCCACCATGCCTATTTCCCTCAAATACTGGATACCCTTTTCAACTGTATCCCATTTTTTCATCGCAATCTTCAAGCCATTTTTGAAGGGATGCTTTTCCTTCACGGCTATTAACACTCGTTCCCAGAGGGAGGCAGCCTCATCTGAACATCGACTAATTCCTCTATCAATAGCTGGATCTCTAGCAATGGCACCTAGTTGGCGAGCTTCATTACCATCCAGAGACAAGCTATGGGCCCCATTGTCCCAACAGCGAACCAACCAGGAAACAAGAGTTTCATTCAGGCGCCGTGTAAACTCCTTTCTTGAACCTTGGATTTCAGTCATCTTTAGAGGCTGGCAAGTAGTAATAGAGATTTCCTCTTCATCACTCTCTTCTGCACGTCTCTTAGTTTTCCCTTTTGCCTTTCGCGATGGTGGTGGTTCTGAGGAGGGCCCCTCACCTGGATCTTCCTCCACCTCCTCCTCCTCTTCTTCTCTTTTTCGTTCAAGACGCGAAGACACTCGTTTCCATTTCTTGCCCTCCACAGGAGCAACTGGTATTGTTACTGGTGTCTCCTGTGATTGATTAGATTTGACTTGGGGATTTTCCCCTTTGGCTTGAACCTCAGCTCGGAAACTCTCTCTCTCCAGAATGGTATTATATAGGGCACGGTAAGCACAAGCCAAACCCCAAATAAGTTGTACCTCCTTAGATTTATGTAAGCCACATAGTCCCTGACTCAAATACTGGCTTAGTTTCTCAGGATCCCACAGGTGTTCAAGAGTAAAATCCCATGACACTGCAGGTCCCCATGCTTCTAAAACCTTTCCTAAACCTCTCCATATTCCCTGCCAATCATCATTCTCTGGTTTCGGAAGAGACTCCTTTCCCTTAATACGAATGCATAGGAACACATTCAGGAAAACTGATGACATGCACATCAACATGACTATTAATTCAGGATTCAAAAAACGTTTGACAAACCGAGAAGAAAACCCAGAGACTGGTCTGAACATCGTGTTGTTTGTAAAATTAGCTATTCCATTTGGGATGTAGTTGTTTGTGAAATTAGCCATTCCACTTGGGATGTAGTTGTTTGTGAAATTAGCCATTCCTTCTGGGATGTAGATGTCAAAGTTCAAATCATACCACATTGAGAGTAGGTAAAACACAGGTGTCTCCATCAGTGTCATTAGGTACCTATATATGGTTGCAATTCCACAACACATAATTATGAACTGGATTATTGGCCAGTAGGTTGTGACTAACACCATTGCTTTTAATCCTTTACCCAGCACCCCCACAATAACGAGTGGGTTCATCGCTTGCTAAAAAAGGGTTAATGAATTGAAGCTAACAAGAGGAGGGAAAAAAAAGGAAAAAAAGGCACTACTCAGACTAAGTAGTGCTCAAAGTTTACAAAAATCCCAGAACACTGGCAGTACGCCTAATCTTTCAAGGTCAGGTTTTCCAGCACAGAAACCTGAACTACTGATAATGCTCCCTAACGAAGCTCTCTAAGAGCAGAGAGAAAAAGAGATTCGTTCAAAAAGCTAAAAAGCAGCGAGCCCCACGTTGGGCGCCAAAAATCTGTCATGGAGTTGACCAGATCAATCTACGTCCATGACAGGGGCGACAGGCCTCTGCCCTACCCCACCACCCCAGTCCCACAAAATGGGAAAGAAGGAAGGGAGGAAAAGAACAGCGGCAACAATCTACGGAGGAAAACTTATTTTACTATAATATTGGAATACAAGACAACACAATCTATACAATTTAATTGAAATTGAGATTAATAAATCAGACAAGATAAGAGAGAGAGAGAGTTCCCGGGACCGAGTCAAACCTGAAAAGCTTGGAACGGCTAGGAAAGCACCCTCCAGCACCCACTGCCAGGCAGCAAGAGAGCGCCCCCCCCACCTGGAAGGGCCAGATCCCGTGACTGCTGTAATGTACAAAGATAGGTAGCTGGGATTGGGGCAGTGACACTTTAATGCCCCGTACACTACATGATGTTTTGATGTGGAATACTGAAACCCAAAAAACAAAAAACAAAACAAACAAACAAACAAAAAAAAACATAGAACCATGACAGGACTACCTGAAAGGAGGTGGCAGTCAGGGGGCTGCCAGTGGAACAGCTTCCCTAGGGAAGCGGTGGAGTCCCAGCCCCTCCCTTCCCAGAAGTATTTACACTGCAGAACCTGGTGTAATGACGGAACTTGGTAGCTCAGCCTGATCATCGTGAAGATGTTTTACATGCTAAGCAATTCTATAGTTCAATAATTAATCTACAGTCATAAGCACACAGACACCTTTGTTCCAGTGGGAACTGAACCCACCCTAGCAGGGCTTCGGTAGCTTCCTCTTTACCTCTGCTATGAATTACGTGAGGTAAAGCCATGTTCACTTGTTTGATGAACAATAAAAGTGAATGGTTTCTTCTCTAGAGTGCACAGAAATTCCTCGTACTGAATGGAACAATAATGCTTTACAGAACTGCTGATACTAGCATCTCCCACTCCACTTTCTGACACTAGGAGCACTGGAACAGCTTGCCCAGGGAGGCCGGGGAGCATCCTTTAATGGAGACATTCAAGGCTCATCTGGACGCCTACCTGTGCAACATGCTGCAGGGAACCCACCTTTGCAGGGGGTTTGGCTCAACAGCTTTCTGGGGTCCTTTCCAACCCCTGCAATTCTGTGAAAAGTACTTTTGAAGAATTGCTAGTGTGGGTTCAGGACTGCATTATATTACACTAGACCTTCGAGGAGTTATGCAGAAAAGTACCCCATTTCTGCCTAAGGCAGCAGTACGCTGCAACAGCAAGGCCTTGAATGACAAAACCAGCCACTGTCCCCTTCCCCACAGGGCCAGCCACTTACCCACTGGCAAACATGTCCAAGGCCAATACGTGAAGCTTCTCCCGCTCAGTCAGAGGCTGAGATCTCGACAGCGTCATCATTGTTTTCAGCGCACTGCCCAGATCTCTGTTGAGCCGCACTGAGCTTCCAGTGCCAATAAGCTCCAATCCGTTAGCAATGACATGTCCCATGACTATGGAAATCAACAAGTCACATCATGAGCAGTACAGCAATGAACCTAATTCATCTCTACGAGAGCATGAAGAGGGTTGGGTTGCCTTGGGTGAAAATGGGTCCCCTCTGTAGCAAAGACTCATCAGCTTCCAGTTTTCATTGCCCTTCAGGACAGGCATTACAGAGGACTTGAGTGAAAAACACGGAAACATCACCACAGCCTGCTCCCCCCTCTAACGATGAATTACAGAATTCTACCCCACACACCAGTTGCTACTTGCCAAAATGAAGTACAGCGAACACAAAGAAACAGGGTAGAAGGGCTGCTCCAAAAGTAATACCTCCCATTTTATTACACTGATCCACAACATGGAGGTGCATATGAAGCAAAGTAGTGCCCCTGAATTCCTCCACGTGGAAGCAATGACAACTATGGACCTTACTGACGCTTGCTGAACACTTATGGAGACCAAACAGTGGGTGACAACACAGCGAGTTGGCAGGTGATTCACTTCAGCAGAGCCAACAAGAGGCCACTGCTGCTAGTGCAGATTTTTACGAGCGTGGCACACAAGCTCTCGATCGTCCCTGGAGAAAATCCATAGCCAGCAGTGGTCACTATGTTGAAAAATTCTGTTTTGTAGCAGAAAAAGAGCCACATCAAACAATACTATCGTGCTCTTTGAATCCATTGAAAGTTAAATGGAAATAAACAAGAGGCATTATTTTGGAGTGATTTACGTAGCATCCAGCACTTCCCGTGCAAACAGCTAAAGGTTACACTTACCAAAATTTGGATCTGCAGCCTTTAACTTGGAAAGACACCCTTCAATACCTCCTAGATTCTCATCGTTGCGCCACGTTGCATACTGCAAAAGGGACAGACAGTGCCAACGACACTGGGCATCTTCTCGTTCTCCCACACAATGACAGAATGGCTTGGGCTAGAAGGGACCTCCAAGATCATCTAGTTCCAAACCCCCTGCCACTGGCAGGGTTGCCAACCAGTCCAACAGGCACTAGATCAGGTAGCCCAGGATCCCAGGCAGGTTAAAGTTAAAGGAAGCAACACAAAAGAGAATCTTTACACGTAGTACACTGAGTTTACTTAGGAAGAAAACAGAGAAAATGTCTTCTTTAAGGTACTCTGGCCACCAGCAGAACTAACAATCTTCAGTTTCTAAGCAGCATACGTCTCCTCCATGATTCTCTAGTGTGAGGGGTGATAAGCACACCAGCTGAAGCTTTTCCCTCAGCTGCAACACTCAGCAGAGCTCCCTGCTAACTGGGTTTTCTGCTGACAGCCAGTGGCTGAACTCAGCCTCAGTCTCAGGCTCTGGTTCCTCACCCTATTCCCAGAAAATGCGCGAGAGCGTAACACCTCTGAGACCACAACTCACCTGTTAGATTTGACTCTGCTGTGGGAAAGAGTCTCGGGCGTGCGTCCAAGTACACACTAGCAGTGACTGCTTAAGTGTTCTTTCCTCAATCGATAAAACTAGATCCATCTTCTCATCTTCCAGACAGTCAGAAATTCAAACGTCAGCTACAGCAAAGACTACTTGGTGCACAAGACCCTCCTTCTCTTATTTTTGCTTCATGTCATACCTGGCTTAGCGCAGCATCAAATAGCTTACAGGCTTCGTTGCTAGCGGTCGACAGCCCAAGTCCAGCGTCCTGCCAGGCCTGCACAATAAACAAAAAAAGAACTGCTTATTCCATGCCCTGCTTGCCCACACACAGCCAGCAGACTTCAAAAGCGATGATTTGCTGATGCTTTTCAACTACCTTTTCTTGTTGTGTTCTTGTGCTGTACAGACAACTTGGGCAGCCACAGAAACATTTTCTGCAGCCGTAATTACATGTGACATTACGTTATGACAATCAACAATCCATTAGCTGTGGTTAGCAGTGGGGAGGAAGAACCAACACACTGTAAACGGTAAAACTTAACGGCCTACAGACCTCCAAATGCAAGAACGATTCTCAACTCATTATGGTTCCCTTTTGACAAGTTCCTCTGCTGCAGGCACACCTCATGTAGAACTGGCACATGCTGAATGAAGGCCCTGGTTTTCTGCACCTCACAGCAGAGCAGTGCTTTCCCACACAGGGTGGCAACGCAACCACGAATTGGTCACCACCCAGGCCCAGGTGCTTCCTTTGCCAACTTAATCACACACTGAGTTCCATCCTTGTCAAAACCAGTAGGTAGACCGGGAGACATTTTAAAAACGATATTCTAAAGATTTCTCATCGAAATTTCGTTAAAGGCTCACATTCCAACCACTCAAGTACCGGAGAGTTCACACTGCACGCCTGGAAGTACTCGACAATATCAAATCACAAACTTTTTCCTTTTCTTACAACACGCAAGCGTGAGTTCAGAAAGAAGCGAGCAGAAAATCGCCGAGAGAGCAGCCGAGGCAGGGCTGCAGCTCACGGGTTACCTGCCTTCCCCCAGAGGGAAGCGGGCAGCACTCAGCCCGCCGTCCGAGCCCCAGGGCGAGCGAAGCTCCCCAAACAGCGCCTCTCGGGACGACCCCGGACGAGGCCGCACGGCGCCAGGCCCGGCTTCCCGCGCCCCTCCCAGCCGCAGCCGCCGCAGTTCCCAAGCACGGGCTCCTTCCGCGGCGGTGGCCGAAGCACAGACCTGCTCGCCCTCGCCGCCCACCCTCCCGGCAGCTGCGGGACCCGCGGGCACAGCGGGCACAGCCGCCACCTGCGGCCGCGCAACGGCCCCTCGGCTCAGCTCGGCTCGGCTCCGTCGTTGCGCCGCTCCCTTCCGGCCCACCCGTACCTTGCAGTCCCTCAGCGGTGCCATGGCCGTCCCACAAGCCCCTCTCAGCCTTCGCCCGAGCGACTCCGCGCTTCCCACAGCACGCACGACAAGGGGCCGGGCCGGGGCCGGTCCTCCTCTCGGCGCGGCAGCCCCGCCGATCCACCCGCCGCGCTGAGCGCCACGCGGTGCTGCCGCCTGCCGCTCTCCGTGCGGTCCGTGGCCCCTTTCGACAGCCCGTCCCAGGGGCCGTTTCGAAGCCGACGTGGTTTTTTGGCAAGCCGCGCCATGGAGGAGGGCGGCAGGTACCGGTCTGCACGTAGAACGTTCAGGATTCCGAGGTCGCTAGCTGACAGTTGGCGCAACGCAAGCAGCAGCCGCCGGCTGGTCGCGCCGCCATGCCGACGCTTTCTCTCGCCCGTCGTGCCGCCACGCCGACGCTTCTTTTTCTGCTCCAGCTGCTCGCCTTTTCCCTGCTAGCCCTGCGAGCCTGCTCTCCGCGCATGCAGCCGCCGCCCCTGGCGGTCAGCTGCCTCGGAGCTCCCGGGCGCGGCTCCGCAGGTCGCAGCGGCGACGGCTGGCTGTCCTGCCTGGGGAATGGCACCTTGCGACTGCGGTATGTATCCAAATAATTTTCTAGTACGGTTTCTCTGAGAAAGCAGGTTGTTTTGGCAATTCAGTGTTGCAAGCCGGAGCAGAGAGGTGATTGTTCCCCTGTACTCAGCACTAGTGAGGCCGCACCTCGAGTACTGTGTCCAGTTTTGGGCCCCTCACTGCAAGAAAGACATTGAGGCCCTGGAACGTGTTCAAAGGAGGGCAACAAAGCTGGTGAGAGGTCAGGATACAGGGCTAATGAGGAGAGGCTGAAGGAGCTGGGAATGTTCAGCCTGGAGAAGAGGAGGCTCAAGGGAGACCTCATTGCTCTCTATAACTTCCTGAAGGGAGGTTGTAGTGAGCTGGGGGTCGGCCTCTTCTCTCGTGTCATTAGTGATGGGAGCAGAGGGCACGGCTTCAAGCTACGGCAGGGGAGATTCAGGCTGGACATGAGGAGGTATTACTTTTCAGAAAGGGTGGTCAGGCACTGGAACGGACTGCCCAGGGAAGTGGTGGAGTCACCGAGCCTGGGGGTGTTCAAGGAAAGGCTGGATGTTGTGTTGAGGGACATGGTTTAGTGGGAGCTGTTGGGAATAGGTGAACGGTTGGACTGGGTGATCTTTTAGGTCTTTTCCAACCTTGGTGATTCTATGATTCTATGGTTCTGTGACAAAACAGTGTTACATTTTTGATCCCCTATTGCCCGCCGCTGATCTCTTTCATCCCTGGTTCCTCATTGGCTGAGTAATGCAGGTTCACACTCTTTCCTGATACTTCAATACTAATCATACAAATACCAAGTAGACACAAATCTTTGCCGCCCAAACACAAATGTCTTAATTGCTTAATTGACTTCTAACAATTGCTTTCTTAACAAACATTTGGTCATAACTTTTCAGACGTCAGGTTTACAGCATAAACATAGACGTATAGACACAGCCTCAATCGTTTAATTACCCCCCTAACGTTTGTGTCCTTTCACACTGGGTCACTGTTCTGGTCATCCATCTGTCCCTGCGTAGAGACAAGCTCGGGAGGAGGATAGAGGGGAGTATCTTGGAGCCAGTGTATGGCATCCTAACATTCCCACAGAGTGGGACAGTTCTGCTCTGTGTAAAGGCCCTGACTCCTTGAAAGTCTGTTAGATGTATTTTGCTTCTGCCGCACTAATGAACAACCTCACAGTATGTCTCCTAGTTCAGAATACTATACTCATACTGGTTAGAACATTGCAAACCTATTGCAGCTTTGTGAGAAAGTGTTTGTTAGGTAATTCGGTAGCCATGTTCCTAATATATGTTCCTAAGATGTATACGGTATTCTTACTTTCCACGTCAGTTATTTCTAAGGATATGTTACAGCTTAATTCTTTAGACCAATTGCCCTTTTCAATGCTCAATGCAGAAACAACACTTTCCACAGGTACCGGCCAGCCCCAGGAGCGACAGCGGAGGCAGAGAGCACAGAGAGGCAGCCTGCCTCCCCGCCGCACTGCCGCTGGTACCTGAATTGGGATTGGGTGAAGAACACCTCCCTCTGGTCAGGGCAGCTCACGCTCCAGTCAGGCCTCTCCCTGGGAAGCGCTCTCTGGCCGGTGGCCTCCAGTCTCATTACAGTGCAGTGCTCATCTGCCTCATGCGCCGCACCCGAGTGCCTTTATCGCAACTTGAGCATTGAGATGTCAGCAAGGTGGGCCGCCCAGAAGAGCTCACACGCATACCGTGATGGCACGAGAAGCGCCGCCTGCTTGTTCCATTGCTCTGCTTTCCCCGGGGATCCTGAGAAACACCAAGGGTTCGTGGCAAAAGTGAGCAGCACCCGAAATGGACTGACACCGGCTCTCCCCAGCGTCAGGGATGACACTTCAAAAGCAACAGAGCTGGCAGTGCTTCACCAGGAAGCAGCCTGCAAATTCAACTCGGTTACAATTCAAAAACCTTCTCTTCATACCTCTGTCATACGTCAGAAAAAGGGGAAAACGTTTGAGCTGTATGCCAGAGTGCTAGTGGACTGCAACCTCCACGTGTCCATAAAGCCTCAGTGGATATTCTATGCTGTTAAGGACATGAAAACTAATCCAGACTGGGACCAACCTTTAAATACATCAGCGATGCACGGTGTCAACACAGTACAGCTAACGGTTCCCAGCTGGACCTTGGATTATGGAATGTATCAGGTCTATTTTACTGCTTCAGTATACGTGCTCGGGACCAAAAGATCCTTCAGTAAGACAGACAGGGTTTTCGTCAAGATAGAGAGAAGTGATCTTGTGGCAAGTATTGCAGGAGGCAACTTCCGGACAGTGGGCTTTTTTGATAATTGGACTCTCGATGGCTCCGTGTCCTACGACCCCGATTCACCGGAACAACTAAAGGGACTCACGTTTACTTGGTACTGCACTAAGAAGCTATTGGACTATGAAAGCATGAGAATCAGTGCGGGAAATAAATGTCATCCAGCCCAGAGGGATTTGAGGTGGCTGACATCTTCAGGGGCTGTTCAAGTGCTAGCACCGGAATCGCTCCCGGGAAACACTGTCTACCACTTCCGTTTAGTCATTCAAAAGGATAGAAGACAGAGTTATGCCGACCAAAGCGTAAACGTGCAGTCTGGCTTCTCACCTCTCCTGGATGTGGCGTGCCTTGAAAACTGTGGCAGCGCTGTAATTCCGACAGAGAGGTTTACGTTGTCAGGCAGATGCCTCAACTGTCAAACAAGCAGCCAGCCAGTCCACCAGTCATCGCTTTGGGTGGAAAATTCTTCAGAAATTAGCTTTGACTGGTCTTCCAGAACCTCAACAGGTAAGTTTGGTTCTATACATGCTCTGACTTTTACCCGTAGTGCAGATCAATCATACATACTGCTACTACAAGTGACTACCTGGGGCGGTAGGTCATCCCTCTACAGATATGCATTTAAAGTAAACTCTCCACCCAGGGCTGGCAAGTGTAGCGTCAGCCCACACCGCGGTACAGCTTTCCTGACAAAATTTGTTGTCCAGTGCAGTGGATTTTCGGACAGCAACTTACCCCTGACTTACAAAGTCATAGTAGCTTCCGACGTATCCAAAACTGCCAAAATTAACTCGGTGGAGGACAACACATTTGGCACAATTGTGTACTTTGGCTATCAGCCTAGAATGCCTCCATCTCCCCTCCCAGTTGGTGTCCCCTCCCGGAGGTACGCTCTGACACTGTACGTTCAAGTGTGTGACTCTCTGGGGGCGTTTACCCAAGTGAGTCTGCATGTCAGAGCACAGAACCCAGTGAGAAGTCGACCGCTAGCTGTTGTGTTTCATGAACTGTTTGCCTCAGTGAGCGGTTTAAGTGTGCCCATGACAGCTTATCTCCAGACCGGAGACTATTTTAATGCGGGTTATTTGCCTTATCTTGCAGCTTCTGTCCTAAACTACATCGAAGCCGCACCAACACTCCCAATACCCAAGGCTCAGTTGAGGGAAAGCCTGCTTAAGACAGCCCTGAACATTTTGGTTGAGAGCACGATGGAAATTAACCAAGTAACCGGAGTGTTGAAAACACAGAGGAATGAGAGCCACTGGTCTGAACAAACAGAAATTCAGACCACTGGAATTCTAAAATGCTTGCCCAACATCCTGAGAGCTGCTCTTTTGAGTGTCAGGAAGGTCATTGTTAGTGCAGTCACGCAAGTCTTCTCCATTATAAAAAAAATAACTGAGATTGTTTTCCAAGGCAAAGTCCCTGGAGAGGAAACCACAGAAGCCTGCAGGAATTGTTTCTATCCAACACTAAAAACTGGAAACTCTTCAAGGTTGTCTTACGATGCCGTCATTTCCACTGCCCTGTTTGAGTTTGATGAAAACCCTTTCCCTTGGTTGAATTATACTTCAGAAATTGCAACAGCCATCTTGGGCTTCAAAATGGCAGAGACCAAGGCTAATGGGGATCTGCTAGGCATCCTGCCTGAAGAAGCAAACGTCCTTATTGCTAGGAAAGATACCAAATCATCAACATTTCAGTTAGCAATGGGACCTGATAAAACACAAACCTACACAACCGGAGGATTTAGTCTGGAGGTGAACAGAGATACCAAGATCATATACATCCAGATCCTGACAAAATTAGAAGTGGCTTTCCAGGTGCTCGTGTTCACTGGCACTAATGTCACTCAGAATTTTCCCATAGCCTCTTTTGATGCTTTTCACAACATGACAACGGTGGCAAGCAAAACCAAGGCAGTGGATGAAGAGTGTAACATCAAGGCTCCTTACATCATCTGCCTCACCGAGTCAGTGCTGAACGTCGCAGCTCAAGGAAGCGGTGCCCAGAGTCAGAACATTTCCATCGTCTTGCTGACCCCCTACATCACAAGGTATCCAAACATGAGGCTGGTGAGCATACACACTTTTAGCGATCACTGCTTGTTTCTGGGGGGAGTTCAAAATCAGTGGAGGGAGGACACGTGCAGACTTGGTTCCCTGACCAACTGGCAACGGGTACACTGTGTCTGCAGCATGAAGCGGAGTCACAGGAGCCGGTCAGTCCTCACTGCCTCAAATACATCCACACTTGACATCAAGTTCCTGGCAGCCAAAGTCATTGTGACCCCCAACAGAGTAGATCTCAAAGGAAACCTAATAGCGGACCTCCCTAAGAACCCCGTGACCCTTCTAACAGTGCTCTTCATTTTTGCAGCCTACTTTCTTTTGTCTCTCTGGGCCGTGCGGAAAGACAGGGCTGAGATGGTCAGCAAAGACAAAATTATAGTTCTGCCCGACAACGACCCCTTTGATAAAGTCAGCTTTTTGGTCACTTTGTACACCGGCAGTCGCTGGGGAGCTGGAACCAGCGCAGATGTTTTTCTTCAGCTCATCGGCCAGAACGGCACAAGTGATATCCACTGCTTGCGGCATCCACAGTTTCCTGCTTTCCGTCGAGGAAGCACTGACTGTTTTCTCTTGACTACGAAGGAAGACCTGGGAGACATCTGCGCCTTCAGGGTCTGGCACAACAACAGAGGCCCATCGCCAGGCTGGTTCTTAAGCAGAGCCAAAGTTGAACACGTGTCCGCTCAGAAGACCTGGTTCTTTATGTGCAGGAAATGGCTTGCCCTTGACAAGGGAGATGGCTTACTAGAAAGGACATTTTCCGTCACCAACCCAAAAGCACCTCTATCCAGAAAGGATTATTTTTTGATTGACCTGGCCAGTGGTCTGAAAGAGGGCCATCTATGGCTCTCCGTTTTTGCTCAGGTTCTCACTGGCACTTATAGCAGGCTCCAAAGGTTATCTTCCTGTCTAACAATATTATTATTAAACCTGTTCGTTAACATTATGTTCTTTAATGCTGACAGGGATGAAGAATCTCCAAGACACCTGAGGTGCTTGAGATCAATTGCCATAGGCATTGAATGTGCTTTGATTACAGTACCTGTGGAAATGATTATAATGGCCTTATTTAAGTATTCCCAGAAGAACCCAGAGAGAAGTCTAACTCTGCTTCCTATGAATCTTAAAACCTGGAGAGTACATTCGCAAAAAAGGAAACGTTCAGAAACGTCAGCACAATCTGGTAGCATTAGTTCCCCGGAGAACGTTGCTGCTCACAGCGATTCTCAGGGCCCGATGCATAACTTGAGGAGAAGAAGAACTGAGGGAAAGACGAGAAGCCAGGGAGCTCCCCAGAACAGCAGTAACTGCCCAGTTTCTGAAGGAGGTGCAAGTACCGCCGGAGACAAGGAGCAAACAGGAAAGAATTCCTGTCCAAAGGTTAAGGCCAGGCAGAGACTACCATCAAATTCCAATTTCAGCAATAACTGCGCAAAGGAAGCAGGTAACTTGCAGGAAGAAAGCAAGCTACTCAGCGTTAGCTCTGTGCCTTTTAGCAAGAGACCACCCATAGTTTGTTGTTGGTGGTGTGTCTATCTCTCGTGGGTGTTAGTGATAATTGTAAGTGGGGTATCGTCATTTTTCATTGTACTGTATGGTTTGTCTTACGGCTACCAGACTTCGCTGGAGTGGCTTTTAGCGTCGGCAACTTCCTTTATTCAAAATGTGTTCTTTGTTTCAATCATAAAAATCAGTTGTTACTCAGCTTTGAACACAGTTCGTCCAAAATACTGCGAAAACATTCCATGGTTTACCCAGGATCTCTCTTCTGAGATTCAAGCAGAAAAGGAAGCAATGAATGAAGAAGAGATGCGGGAGAAGCACTTCAAGCTTGCCCAGATCAGAGACACCGAGCAGTACAAGCCTTTAAAAGATGAAGAAATTGCAAAGATGCTGGAAACGGCAAAAATTAAAGTCAAGGCATTCATTTTCATAAAAGATGTTATCGGTCACCTTGTGGTTTTAGCAGTTGTCTTATGTTTTGCTTATTCTACTGTGAACACTAACAGTTTCCACTACAACCAATTTATTCGGAACCAGTTCTCTCCCAGACTCCCTGCTGTGGTTAAGCTGGCAGATATTTACACGTGGGTGAACGACACCTTCTTGCCTTTGATCCACAACGACGTTCAGCCAACTTTTCTTACCGACAGCTCATCCAAAATCATCGGTTTGCCTAGGATGAGGCAAGTGCGGGCTAAAGGTACTGAGAAAACTTGTTTCCACCCTCACAGCTTTGTAAATAAATTTGTAATCAGTAAAAGCCACTGCCTTCACAAATACGGCAGGGACCTCGAAGAGAAAGGTGACTATGCTGGCACGTGGACAAAAGTCACCAACCGTTCTTTTTCCGAGGAAACCAGCAGTTACCCTGGGTTTACTTACCAACCAAACAGGGCTCCCTGGACTTACTTCTCATACGGAGATCTGCACACATACGGACCAGGAGGATACACGTTTTACTTTTTCCCTGAAGAAGGAAGACGTAATTCAACAACAAGGCTGGATTTGCTGCAGGAGAGCAACTGGCTTGATGAAAAGACCTGGGCTGTGATCATCGAACTGACTACGTTCATGTCTGATGGAGATCTCTTTTGCAGCATCTCAGTCATATTTGAACTGTCTGATTTTGGGATCATAAAACCAACTTTGTCAGTACACTCATTTGCTGTCCCCATTTTCCATCAGCAAACTAAAGGTCAACAATTGTTTTTCCTAGCTGCTGTTGCCTTTCTGCTCATGTACGTTGCAGATGGCCTCTACAGCATGGTCCAAGGAAAAAAAAATATTTCCAGGACCATCAGCTTCATCTTAAAATTGGCATTCTTCCTGATTATTCCTTTCCAGGTTTTAAAGTTCAAGATGGGAGCTGATATCGTTCATTTTTTCTTACTTTATCCAAACGATTTCATTCCTTCTCACGCAGCTTCTCATCTAGATCAGAATCTAAGGAATACTTTGGGCTTTTTGGCATTTCTTGCAGTTTTGAAGACACTAAAGTATTCTCAATTGTTTTACAAGGTGCATCTGGCTCAAAGATCAATCTTGGCAGCCCTTCCTGGGATCTCCTCAATGGCCTCTGTGGTGATGGTGTACTTCTCTATCTTTATGGCTTTTGGCTACCTTGTGTTTGGCCAGCATGAATGGAATTACAATAATATGATTCACTCAGCTCAGACCGTATTCTCTTACTGCGTGTCTGCTTTCAGAGATACTGCATTTTCATCCAGCAGGCTGATGGGTGGTTTTTTCCTCACCTCCTTCCTGCTGGTGATGACCTGTGTTTTGATCAACCTCTTCCAAGCTGTTATTATGTCTGCCTATGGAGATAGGAAACAACTTGTCTGTGAAGAACCACCTGATGAAGCAAGAGCGGTTGCTTTCCTCCTGCAAAGGATGAAAAAGATGCTGTGTTTTCCAATCTGTAGAACGGCCAAAAGAAGTGACCCCAGTCTTTGCCACGGTGTGCCCAACGGGCAAGCTGAGAAGAGAGTTCAGTGACATTCGGGCCTTGAGAAAAGAAAAGCAAACGGGGAAAAATGGTTTGTCTTGTAATAAGAGCAAAGCAAGATACTATTTTCCAGACCACCTCTAGTCTGTAACACTTGTGTTTCAAATAAATGTTTTAAATTATTTTCTTGTGGTTTTTTTCCATGGATTTTGTAGGATTTAAACTTTTGTTACTGAGATTTTCTCAGCAGAGACAAATTGTGCGGAGGATATTTTGCACCCATTTCAGCAGCACGTGTTGCTGGGGTGCAGTCTGCTGACCCAGCTGGGAAGGTAAGTGCCCAGCTAGTTGGTTGCTCACTGCCTATACAGCAGGATGGGCAGGGAATTGGAATGGCAAAGTAAGGAAAAAACAACACGTGGGTTGCAGCCTGTGAAAGAGGATTTCTGAACCCCTCTCTTTATTCTCCCTGGCTCAACGCTCCCTTTGTGAGGCTTTTTTGGTGATAAGACTCTATCTGAATACTGGGAATTTTCTAGGGGGGCGAGTGGTAGGTGTTACTGTGCCACATTACTTGTGGTCATGATTGCAGAGATAAGCAGAAGGGGGGCAAGGAGCCTTTTTTGGGGTGTGGCTTGAATGAGCCGACCACTGCAAAAGGAAATAATGCTTATGCACCAGAATAAACGACAATGTATTGCTTGTTAGATTTATTACTGTCACCGGGAGTGGCGACACCAGGCCTTCGGTTAATACGGCGCTGCCCCTTTAAGGAGCGCGGGGCGCGTCCCCGCGATGTGACGCCTCGCAGTCGAGGCGGAAGCGGCGGCCGGCCGAGCTGCGCAGCTCAGCCATGGCTTCCGGTTGTTAGCAGTCACGAAGCAGTGCGGGCGCCGGCCGGCTGCGTGCCCGGGGTCCGAAAAACGCTGCCGCTTTTCTCCCCGGCGGCCGGGATCTCCGGGCCGCGATCGGGGAGGGCCTTGGGACCCCGTCCCGAGGAGCGGGCCTCGGGGCGCCGCGGCCGAGCGCGGGCGGCAGCGGCAGGACGGAGCCCCGCGCCCGGGTGGGAGAGAGGGGCGCTCGCAGCGGGGCGGCGTGCCGCCGCAGTGCCCGGCCGCCGGCGAGAGGGGTGCGGAGGGGCCGAGCCGGAGAGCGGCCTGCCGCGCGGCACGGGGGTGCGGTCCCAGCTCCCTGCTGTTCTGCGGGGGATCTGCGTGCAGACGCTCTCCTTGTTTGCGATAACGTGGCGGCCGCGGGTCGCTTCTCCTCGCTTGAGGCTGCAGCTGCGGGACGCGGCCCTGAACAGGATTCCCGGAGAAGTGAAAGGCGGCCGGAGGGCAGCGTGCGGCGATGCTGGTGGAGGTGCGCGGAAGAGGAGCTGTAAGGAGCCTGCAGGAAACCTTTGTGTCCTGTGCAACCTGGGTGTTTCCAGGATAAGGCCGCACCAACCCGGGTGCGCTTCGGCATCGCGGCTTTGCACTCAGAACCGCAGAGCTGCGGAGACAGTCGGGCACCCGGCTCCTCTTTAAGAACGAGGAGGAAGCAGGAAGTTTGCAAGAGATTTGAGAGACAGTTGCACAGTTTCCTTCCGAATTTGCTCTGAGAACCCCCAGTAAGTATCCCCAGGTCTCAGTAATGTAAGAAACGGCCTCCCTGCTGTAGGAGAGAGGTTGGTCGTCTCCAAGGCACTTGAGCAGGTAGGAGTCTCGGCTCTGGCTACGCTGCAGAATGCCATCAGAGCAGTTGTGCCTTTGGTGCAATGGACAGAATGATGCCTTGAGCTGCCTGCCATCTCTGTGCACCTGTCAATCAAAGAATTAGATTTGTGTCCTGGTAATCATTACCCCAAACAGGTCTGTGCGTTGTGGAGTTTTTTCCACCAGGATTTTCCCCCTGCTCTAATTTTACCAATAGACCAACTTGGAAGGACCAATGGCAGCGAACCAGTGCAAAGACAGCTCGTGTTGATTTCTTTCTCTTAACTGGTGTGGAATACAAGTTGTACTGATACAAACCCTCTTGGCAAACTAATTATGCGTGAGGGTGTTACGTTAACTGTACCCCTACACTTGCAATAGTGTATTTTATATGGACAAAATGTATGTCCTTTGTGCTCCAAGACTCTGTCCTGGAGGACTTTGCTAGACAAATACCACAGAAGCATTACTCTGTACGTTGCTTCAAGTAGAGGAAGGATGTACATGTCTACAAACATGGCATACTTGTATAATCAGGAGCAAGGCAGGAGTCCCTGCCAATTCTGGTCTGCAGATCATGCAGTTATTAACCCAGCCTGACATGGGACTTTTCTTGCGGAGTTGCTAAACTTTCTAGCTTGTGCATTACCCTTGCACTGCCCTTTTTTGCTGAAACAGAACTTTTACTGCCAACAAGTCACTGAACCAAACATGCCATAAAGAGTGCAAACCTTGGGATGGCTGGGGATTTTTTTTTTTTAATTTATTATTTCTTATTTTTCCAGAATATAGAGAGAGGGGGCCATTGAGTGTTCTGTAGCGTTCCTGTTCCCAGTGCCTGCTGAAGAGAGCTCCTTTTACCTGCTCTGTTTTTTCCTTTTACCGACCAGCTAACACATGAGCCACGCTGTCTCCAAGAAGTCTCTAACTACATGCCATAATAATTTTGCCCTATGTCATCTTCTCCTGCCTGCTCAGAATGTGGAACGTGGCAGAAACCCCTACGTTGGGTATTTGTTTTAACAGATATCCCCCACTGTTTTAGAACAAGCAGTATTTCTCTGTCCTATGGAAAACTATGGAAGCAGTTTTTGTAAGCGGGCTGTGATAGCTACTTGGTAAGAGTGTCAGGTATTGAAAGAAATAAGTTCAGCCTTATTTCTTTTTTTTCCTCTTTATTTATCTATCTATCTATTTATTTATTTATTTTTTAATGCAGAATCATTCAGGTAATGGTTGTGAAGCAAAGTTTTTCAGAGAGTAAAGAGATTAACCTTCACACCTGCTAAAAATCTACAATCTTAGTGCCTGGGCAATTTCACATTATGTTGCTACACATGCAGAAAACAGGAATTTACGGTATTTGTAAGTGAGGAGGACTTGTAGCTGCTAGTCCATGTTTTAGGAACTGGTTTACACTGTAGGCTGTAAATGAAATGGAAAGAAAAGCATAAAAAAACCCAACACACCAACCCATTCTCCCCCAGAATTTGGGAACTCTCAGCAAGCACACTGGAAAAGGAAACTCTCTAAGTGAGAGTGGGCTTCTGTCCTTTATCAAAGGTGCTGGGGATATCTCTCGCTTTGGTGGCTCATGCTCACTGATCACAACAGCCTGGACAGTGAAATCTGAGCACTACATCTTTCAGGGGAAATGGTCTTGCCTGCAAGAAGGTCTGTGGGGCTGTATGCATTAGAGTGTTATGCATATAGTAGGTACAGCACTTTGTTCTGTATTCTTGGGATTTTTAAAGCTGACGATATGTACCTTATACCACCACACTCATCAGTTTTGTGTTTTGTTTTCTAAGGTGTTGCTTAACTGGATTATGCAGTCCTTACCTTGGGCTCAGCTCTAGCAAACTGAGAGCACCAGTCACGTTTATTGGAAAGAATTCTATTCCCCAAGTTGCTTAATGCTTAACGTTTTGCTGATCTCAGGGAAAAATCAAGCACTGCCTCTTACAGCAAGGACACTGTAACATGTAACCCACATAGCAGAGGGTATTTCTATCAGAACCAACTTTGCTTACTCTAGAGAGATAAATCACCAAAGCTATATTTACTTCTTTCAGGATTATGTCAAGTTGCAGTGTCTTATTATCTGATACACTGTTCCCCTCCTCCCGTATTTCCACGAAATCTTGGTGTTCCTAGTGTTGTGCTGTTGAAAAGTGTCATGCTAAGTTTAGGTTGTATTTAACCATGCTGACACTTTGACTGGTACATGTGGTCCTCCATAACTTTTCTTAAGGGACAACTAAGGGGAAGCAGAATAGCTTACATATTAATAGAGCCTTACTATCTTCACCATGGTTATAAATCTAACAAAGCTGTAACAGGGAGCAGTAGCAGAGGGAAGAGAAAATCAGTTCAGGACAGGGTAAAATATGGCTGTAGCATGCTTTTTTGTCTGTACCAGAAGGGAGATGTACTGAAATTAAACCTCAGATCTGTTTTGCCTTTTTTTTTTGGCAAGGAATAGCTGTAATCCAGAACTTATGTTCCATTCAGCGTGTTCATTTGGTTGGTCTCGTGTCAGCTATTCTCCTCCAAGTCCCTGTAACTGCAGCGAGAAGAGCAACAAATTTGTCTTCTTTCAATGTATGGACCATTTTTCCTATAGAATAATTAGGGTGGGTGATAATCACGATGTAATAAACATTGTGCTCCACCTAGAAAAAGCTGTTGAAGAGCAGAAGAAGGAAGAGTAATGAGGGAGATGGAGGAAAAAAACAAACAAACAAACAAACACCAAAAAACCAGGAAAGACGATAGATTAATTTTGGGGTGGGTGGAAAGGAAGATCCAATGGTACTGCTGCTTCCTGTGCCAGCACTGCTCAGTGGCATGACAGAGATCCAACATTCACTGTGCTTCTGCAGGCAGACGTGGAAATGGCCTCAGACATGGGCCCTAATGGCCTGCCGTGCATACCTGGGCAACCTGCTTTTGTGGTATGCATTAATTCACGCTTGCGCGATCCACATAGCTGGTCTTTTACAACCGAGGCTCTCCTAACAGCTGAGTTACTGAAGCAGGAAATTTTACTTCCAAAAAGTCACTGAACCAAACATGCCATAAAGGGTGCAAACCTTGGGATGGCTGGGGATTTTTTTTTTTTATTATTACTTATTTTTCCAGAATGTAGAGAGAGGGGGCCATTGAGTGTTCTGTAGCGTTCCTGTTCTCAGTGCCTGCTGAAGAGAACTCCTTTTACCTGCTCTTTCTGTTTTTTCCTTTTACCGACCAGCTAACACATGAGCCACGCTGTCTCCAAGAAGTCTGCAACTATGTACCATAATAATTTTGCACTAAGCCCTCTTCCCCCACCTGCTGATAGTCTTAATTTCCTTACCACTAAATAAATTTCTTATTAAGCGTGCTTACTTGTATGTATCTGTCTCAAAAGATGTTTGTCTACATCTGTAACATAAACGTTTGAATTGTCTGGAAAGTTTACTGATTATTTAACATACTTTCACGAAGTAACAAACTGGGCCAATGAAGGACAGAAAGCCTGGCATTGCTACTGTACTGAATATGAGCACGCTCAGAGGGAGCTGCACAGAAACTCTACTAGAAAACGGTGTCCCAGGAAGATTCAGGTAGCTGTGCATTACAAGCAGGTGATCTTCTAATTTCCTAGTGGAATCATCCAGGATTTAAAGCTGTTGCATTTCAGGTTGTATCTTCCAAGTCAGCTGTCATCAGATCTCTCGCTCCTAGGGATTCTCCAGCATGCTTTACAGCACTGCATCCCTCCACCCAAAGCACCCGGACTTCGATTGATGAGCTTATTGCTAGCAGTGAGGACAGATTTATGCCACTGAATGAACAGCCGCTGCCCTCCTTATGAGTCGCTCTGTCATTGGTGAATTTGGTCTCATCACATCACGCTCTCTCAGGAGGCACCTGAAAAAGGAGAAGAAGTAGCAGGAAAACGGGAAGAAAGTCACTGAGCACATCGCTTTTCCCATAAGACTCTCAGCAACAGCCCTACAAGAGCAGGAAGACAACACCTAAAGACCTGCTCTTGATTTCCTTCACTGAAAACATCTGGCCTTGGCAGTCAGATCAGGCAGAAGAGTTCTTTCCAGCACTGACACAGACTGAAAACCAGCACGCAGAGGGCACACAACAGTCGTTCTGATATTCTATCTACTACTCGTGTTTCAAAAAGACTTCAAGAGGCAAACAGGCAAGGCTTCACGTTGTCCTGAGGAGACAGGCGTTCCTTTAAGTGCACAGCAGGCTCAGTTAACAAATTTAAACAGAACTCTCAGCAGGACAATGAGCATGAGGATAACCTTGATTTCCAGCAGGTCACCAAACCTTAGGAGTCCATTAAGTACACAACCAAGCGGCAAGATGCCACAGGGTAAGACAGAACATCTGAAAGTCAACTGCCCTTCAACAAACACAAACGAATCATCCATACTGTAAGACTGCCCTTCTGGAACAGACAGCTACTGCGCTTCTCATCTTAGTTAAGTGTTACTACATTCAGCGCGAATGCTTGCGTGTAATTTCAGCACGGACGCAGTTGTTTGGAGCTACTCTGCTACATCCTGACTTTAAAACAGTCCTGTCACCACAGAAAGAAAAAATTACCAGGAAAAATACTCACTTAGCGAGGTTTTGTTTGGCTTGGGATTTGCAATTTAAAGCAGCATGAATCAACAGCTGGCTGAAAACATCCCTCTGAAAAAAGAAGTGAGTCAAGAGCTAAGTTAGTAAGTAACCGAGAAAGTACTGCTGCTTACAAAACAGCCCCCAAGTGAAGTTTTCCTCTTGGCACCTTGAATAGCTGACACTGCTGGTAAGTGCTGGCAAACAGGACTCAGTCACAAGCACAGCTCGCTTGTTCCCTTTTCCAGGAATCAAGGGCTCTTAATAATGAAAGCACCTAAGGGAGGCTACTGAAAGTGGACCGAGTCACATCTCGGGTCGCATCTTCTGTTCATGTCCTTTACCTGAGCATTACTGCCTCCTAGCTGGATCAGTTGGTAACGGATCGGGTACAGCAGATCGACAGCTTTGTCACAGTTCCCATTCTCAAACTCCACCAAAGCCTGCAGTAATGGCAACCCCACACTGGGAGCCAGAGAAAGCTCGTGGTCTTCGCCAGGTTCTCTGTACAACGAGAAAGTGATTAACTCTCATAAATCAAATCAGAAATACGCATATTTAATGCCAGCCTGGCACTGCCTGCAGACAGAATTACTTCTGAGTCAACCAAGCGTGATATTTCAGGTACCATACTTACACGGTTACTTTTGCTGAGGTTATTTTACTTGCACCTTTCTATTATGGTGTAGTGCTTGTGGTGGCAATGGTGATGAGAGACCATCACTAGAAGATCTTATATGTTGTTACCAACCTTGTCACTCTAGGATTCCATCATTACTCATCAGTCAATCAGATTTCATCCTTCTGCACACATTCACACACGTCACAAGCCCAAGCCTTTGCAACATATCACCTTGGCTGGGAAAAAGCCAGAGAACTCTGCACTGATTTTAAATCTGATCAAGGTGTGAGTGAAAAACACAACGCTGTTAAGTTGAAAAGCTTCAATGCACGATTCATGCAAGTAAATGAACTCGAAAGCAAAATTCTCAAGAACTATTCCAGCACTGCTTAGAAACCAATTTCCCAGAGAGGGACTATGACAGTCTCACTACCAGCTAACTGTTACTTTCTTTTAAAGCAGAGCAGAAAGAACCAGCACAGACAGCTGGCACACTGCACAGTGTCCGTATTGTTCTACAGGTGAAATCCTTTATCGCTGCACATTACGTAACTTAGTACGAACACACAGCAAGAAAATACAAGGCAAACGTTCCGTAGTGGCTGTGACAAACACAAGAGATTCTTGCTTACCACGAACAGAAGCTCCTCTCGACATCAACTCACAAAAAGAATTACAGAGATGACCTAAATGGACACTGCTCTATTTAAACCAGGCCTCACCCAGGGAGGCAGCAAAGCAGAGAGGAGCGTGTGGGAACACTTCTGCAAGCCACACAAACCATCCCTCAGATGCTCAGAGGCCAAAATATTTATTCAACACAGTACTTTAGTTCACGTAACCTACTTGGCAAGTTCTTGAAGAGTTGTTAAAAGCTCATTCGTAGTTTTGTGGTCTTTGGCTCCAAGGGAGGACATCAACACGTGTGCATCATTGAAAAGAAGAACGTGGTCTTTGCTGTGCTGCTTTGCACGCTTCAGGACATTGTCCCACCTGTCTCCAAGCTTCACACCTATCAGTAAAAGATATTATTTAAATAACAACACCAAGGGCAAGAGCATTGCTTAGTAGTATGTATCAGCATCATGTGCCATGGATAGCACTGCTACTGAACTCAAAAACACAGTCCCTGACGTGGCAAAATTATACTGCAATGTTTAGTTACAGCCTGCCTTATCCGGGCAAAGGGTTCACTGACTGTCAGTAATTTATCACCAATATTCTAGATTGCATTATGGGAGGATCTCCCCACATTTGCAACGGGGAGAAGAATCAGAAGGGCAGAAGTGAGAACACTTGTGGAATCACATAAGGACAGAGAAATAGGTAAAACAAAAGCAGTGCGTGTGAGCCAAGCCAAATAACAAATTCATTCACCACTCTGCACTGGCAGGCAGTTCAGCCATTCCCCTCACTGCTCACAAAGAATTACAGTGGGATATCCTACCTTCCAGATGAAGCCTGTACAGCATCGAAGAGCTATCTACTAAATCCAGCATGCTTCCGCTTGACAGGAACCGGGGAGCTATCTGTAATCACAAGTGTTCATAAGCTGTGCTACCAGGAAATTACTCAGATAATCCAACTTATGTGCACTGTGCAAAAGGAACTTTATGTTCTCATTCAACCCAAAATACCTGTCTCAAAGTTGCACTGCTAACTGCACTGTTCCCAAATACAGCAATCTGAAGTGAAGAACGCTTCCATGCTGCTTCACTTGTCTTGTTTTACTTGGTATCCAATTCAACTCCGTAAGCACAGAGGATCACCAATTTTTTCTTTCTTCCTCCTAATCTTGTGCCATAAATATTACTTCACTATGCCAGAGTTAGTAGGCAGGAGCCTGCACAACAACTTTCTTAAGGACAACATTACTTTTACAGTCCTTACAAATACGTGCTATCCTATCAAATTTGATTTTATTTACTAAGATTGAGTTGAAATGTACACAGTACAGAACCACAGCATATTAATAGAAATGCAAAGACCTGCTTCTGTGAATATCTGAAGTGCAAAATCAATTATTCGCATGAGTAACTTGAGTTTATAGGACAAACGTTTTACATCCTTTTAAAAAGCTGCCTCTTCTTTACCACCAAAAAAAAACAAAACAAACAAAACAAAACAAAAAAAACCTGAGACCTAAAGAACACAAATAAGAGAGACACAGGTTTTTGGGCATTTCACGTGGTGAGAAATCACTTCCCTAACAACAGATGCAAATATTACATATGCACAGCACACTGCGGTAGGTTTCAACGTCTTGCAGAAGGAAGAAAACACATATCACAATCTGCAGCATGCCCTTCAATAAATATAAAAGGCTCCTACTCACATGGTTGTCATAAATTGTCAAAGCGGCCTCATGTTCCCCCTGTAAAAGCAAACAAGGACCATGTGATTAATATTCTGGAAGACTAAGCAAGAGTGATGGGTAGCAACCAAAGATATAAATACAATTAAGAAATGCCATAACATTACATCATTGTCTCCTGACTTCAGAAACAAAAAGAAAAAAAGAACAAAAAGAAAGAAAGACCAAGATAAAGCAGGATGTACTAGCTAAAATAGCCAGTATATTTAATTTGCTTTTAATAATGAGAACAAATACTGGTGCGTGTTCCACACAAAGGAGAAAGATGAGGTTTCATCTCTTTCTCATCTTCCTTTCAGAATCCTCAACTACTGTTGAGAGCTATGCTTTCTATGTCATTACTATGAAGCATAAACAACTGATTGTGATTGTGAGATAAAGCAGGATGTACTAGTTAAAATAGCCAGTATATTTAATTTGCTTTTAATAATGAGAACAAATACTGGTGCGTGTTCCACACAAAGGAGAAAGATGAGGTTTCATCTCTTTCTCATCTTCCTTTCAGAATCCTCAACTACTGTTGAGAGCTATGCTTTCTATGTCATTACTACGAAGCATAAACAACTGACACTGTGTTCTGACCAAAGGACGGCACCTCTGCAATGACATTGGGCTCAATTCATTAAGGAGACAAATGTGACCAGTGCTAAGCATTATGAACTCCAAGGAAATTCTGCACTGCAACCTGATATGCTGGGCAAGTTGCAATCGTTACTAAAGAGTTTCACTAGATCCTAAATCACTTGAATTACAGAGATTGAACTACAGAGATTAGTGTCTTGTTTCAGTCAGTCAATTTTGAGGTCAGCAGCTTTGCACTGAATTTGAAGAGAACTTTCTGTAATTTTGTTTTCTAAAAATAGGTGATCCAAGTTCTTATATCCATCAAATAATCGTGCCAGGTGTAATCAGTGAGATTATTTCACAGCAATCCTTCAACATTCCAGCAAAGATGATGGATCTTTGTTCGGTGTAATTAAAAGTTGCCAAAATAATGGTACTACAGGACTATCCTGTAAAAACATCACTGTGCTATTTTATAACAGCATCCCTTGAAATAACCTACAAATCCCTATACATGCTAGGACAGCCTTTTAACTAGCATTGGATGAATCCTCTGTCTGGACCGTAAATCATCAGTATGAAAATATCTCATACCTTTTCCATAAAGTATAAAGCCCAGTGCCAGTAATTGTGGCAAGCAAGCATATCACTGCCCTGCAAAAAAGAAAAAGGAGAGAAATATTATGGTTTACACAATAACTTCTCATCTCAACATACCTAGGCGGATTTCGGTTTTCCTCTTCAACTGCCGAGTGCTCCAAAAGACAGGACAGACAAGAACTTCACATCTGCTGGCCTACATGAAATCTCTCACTCTTACACTCGCTCCTTTCCAATTCAGGCAGACACCACAAAAACCAAAGTTTCCCCAAGTCTTTTTGCAGAGAAGAACTGCGCTTGGATGCCTCAGGAGAATTCACCCTTTTGCAGCACTCCTTCGGAAAAAAATCCACAAACTGTCTGTCACAAGAGTAAGATTTGTCTCATCTAACATGTAAGGGTCTTGACTGAAGCAATGTGGCTGGACAGTGTGCAGGAAAGGCCCACCTTATGAGGGCCATTCCTCCTACTCACCTAGATTTCCATCTCAGACTGAGTGATCACTTCTCAAACTTATGTCTTACTATTGACCACAAAATAGATACCAGATACGTGGGCAGTTCCTCAGATGAGATGAATATTCCCTGACCATTACCAACCTTGCAACATACTTCCCAGCTGACGCCAGGAGTTCAAATGCTCTTCCCTAGCTTGTACTTCACATGAGTAAGAATACGAGATTACCTCACTGCAAAAAACAAAACCCCTCTTCTGATTCTGACTTGTAGTTCTGAATGAGATTAAACTGCTAAGCAAGAATTTGCTAAGCAAATTCCAGGGTGCTCAAATCACTAAATAGAAACAGGCTATGAGAACTCACTGCAACAGTTCTGGAGAAAAAACATTCCCATTTAAGACTAAGCCACACTAGCACGGAGGTCCCTCGGCTGACCTGATGTAACCCCTCTGATTTTGTGCTCAAACTCACATCAAATGATAGGCAACTGCGTTTCTGTGAGAGGAACAATAAAAACTGTCATGCAAAGAAAACCTGCACTAAATCTCCTGTGCAATTTAGCATCCGAGTAATCTCAGTAAAGATGGCTTGAAGTGGTCCACAGCACGTGCCTTTCAGAATGGACATTTTTCTGCCTCTTGCTTCAAAATCAGCATGGATAACAGCACCTCAAGTGAAGTCTTCTACTCATTTCTGAAACTTGCATTGCTTGTAACACATACACAGGCAGAAAGGAATGAGATGAAGAACTGCAGGACTTGGCTGGAGCAGGCAAAGACGACCTACAAAGATATTTTTCAGAGATGCTGTGACAAAGCTTACCTTCCAGTTGTCTTCTGTTTCCTTCATGAACGCCAACCCTTTCTCCACCTCTGCTTTCATTTCATTTACGTGAGCTACAGTATGAACAGACCACGCATCTGTCCGCTCTATATCCAAAGCCTATGAGTGAAAAAAGGAAAACGTGATGATTCTCTCAAACTGGCAAAAAACCCATTTCTATTATATCTTAGCCATTTGGTAAGGTGAGTCAGTAGCAGTTTCATCTGTTCCAGATGCAACAGAACCTTGCCAAGACACCCATTAGAGATTAACTCCGTCCAAGACCACAAGGCAACAGCAATAATCCTGAAGACTGCAGAAGATCAAACACAACTACTATCGTTATAAAAAGGGCATATGCAGACCAATTTTGATCCCCAGGAACACTGTACACTCAGCTGCTCACTGTCAGTTTACAGCACTTGTGCAAAACAGCACTCAGAGATAGGGAGCACATGACTAACAACTCTAAAAACATTTCGCCATCAAGAACGGGCAGTTTACCTCACGGGCAAGCTTCTCTGCACGATCAAAAAAGTTTGTTTCCATGAGTCCAAAAGAGTAGAAGCCTTTCACGTAGCTAAGCAAAACAGAAAAGAACACTTCACTCATTCAGAACTAGATTTAAGCAAGGACTGAAAAATGTACTGGAAGCAGCATTTAATTCAAAACCGTCCTTGCAACTTGTACTTCACAATACTGAGCAACAGGAAAAGCTCACAGCCTACCTATTATAAATGTGTGTACTTAACAAAAGACCAACCCTCCCTCATGCCCAACAGATATACTGAAAACATGGAACGCACTGATTGCGTGGCCAAAACATCACGTGGAACCAGGAACAGAGCTTTCTCAATGCTGAACTGTAGATAATGGAGACAATATTTAGACTCAGTGTCTCCATTCCTGTCGTTAGTCTCAACCACTGTCAAGCCATTTTTCAAATTCAACGCGTTTTATAACAAATTGAATTTTAACAACAAAGGAAACAGAAAGCACCCACAAGTGATTTCAGATTTACATTTCAAATGTGGTGAGGGGGAGAAACTCAAAGGCAACACATACAACTGCAGCCATCTGCACTGTCTTCACACTTTCTTCACTGCCCACTATACACAAGCACCTTCATGCAATGAGGCTTTTCCAAATCAGTTGAAGACAATGTAAAAGCAAAAGGTACCGTCGTTAAGCAATAAAGGCCCAATGTACAGGGAAGCTTGGCTGTTCTATGCTCCTATGAATGTACCCGATGCAGTCAGTTTAAGGAATGTTTAACTGATACTGTATTTGCAGAATCATAGAGGGCAAAGCACCACAGGATATTCTTCTTTTTCTGAAAATACCTGCTTAGCTTTTGGTTTCAAACTCAGAAGGCAAAAATGTTACTAAAATATGTGGAGTATTATATTGCACCTGAGGAATAAAGACCTCTGGGTGCGTTGTTCAGTTCTGTTGTTTGTTTGTTTTTACATATATACTTAGTTTTTGCAGAAGTATAAATTCATACACAACTCCACATGCCTGTCAGTCCAAGGACACAAAATAATTGCCAGATTTTTAGATAACAAGGAAAGTTTGGTAAAGGGGTATTTCCCACTGCTTCACAATTAATTAGACCACAGACTGTACGCCCCTCTGTAGCACACACTCTTCTTGTGCCAAAGAAACTGACAAAAACCCAGTCCAAGCTGCTAAGCCTAACCTCCCCAACAAATGCCAGTAGCGTACATAAGAAGAAGAAAGGATTTCACATTTTCGTCAGCTGACACTGAGGGAAAAATGACACTGCCTTCTGAGCCGTGAGACTGCGCAATGCCATAGCTTCATTACTAGCTTAATATTCAGCTCACACTGTCTTCACTGTTTGTGGAAGAGAAAAGCATTCTGTCCTGCATATTGAGGTACACAGGAAAAAAAAGAAAAAAAGGAAAGGGGCACACAAGAGCCTGAGGGCATTTTGCCCCCGCCTGCAGTGAGTGCACCATTCCATCTTAGGCGTTACATGACACGAGCCTTATCTGACAGCAAAAGTCACTGAGCGAGCCACTGCTCACTTCTGAAAACTGAACAGAACAACCTCACTAACAGTGTCAGCAGGGATGCGGGGGAGATGATCGAGCTGGCGTCACCCATAATTCACTCAACTTCATCTAGAAGCTGTTAATCTTGTCTGCACTCCTGTTTCTAACAAATCCTATTATTTAGATGTGTTGAACCGAAAACAAAAGAGTAGGCATACATCAGATACGGAGCAATTTTGAAAGTGAAGCATGACCTACCTGCTCAGAGGAACGTCGGGTGTCCAGAAAGGAAAAACACGAGCAACAGAATCTCGCATTTGTATTTGATATCCTAAGTAGAAATAAGTGTCATGGGAAAATTTGAGGGCTAGCAAGTCAGCCGGATGGTTCTGTAGAATCTGTTCCCATACATCACAAGCTTTTGGAAGCTGTCTATAAACAAGAATTTTAAATGTTGAAAGAGGACATGCATACCTGCCCCTGCTGTCAGTTCTAAACTCCTCCTATTCTGAAAAAGAGAAGATTCAACAACAAATGCCTTTTTCTTCTTGAACAAATTTTAGTTACGTTTGTGTTTTCCTTTGAGAAACAATGACAGTGTTTAAGCAGGGCACTTACTGGGAAATCACATGAGAAGTACTCTTACAAAAGTTGCAAAAGGCAAGGCAAAAGAGACACGCTTGAACCATAAAGATTTTCCCAAGATTGAACGTGAACTTGGGACAGAGAGATCTGCTGCTACCTGCTTGGGAGCTGGAAGGCTCTGCAGATGGATCTGGAGAGGCTGGATCAAAGGGCTAAGTCCAACTGCATGACATTCAACAGGGCTAAGCCCCCAGTCCTACACTGGAGTCACCCCATACAGTGGTACAGACCTGGGCACGAGTGGCTGCAAAGTTGCTCAGCAGAAAAAGAGCTGGCGGTGGGTGCTGGCTGACAACCGGCTGAATGTGAGCCAGCAGTGTGTGCCCAGGCAGCCAGCAAGGCCAATGGCATCCAGGCCTGCATCAGAAATAGTGTGGTCAATGAGAGGAGGAAAAGGATTGGGCCCATACTCAGCAATAGGGAGGCTGCACCTTGACTACTGAGTTCGCTTTTGGGCCTCTCACCACAAAAATGATACCGAGTTGCTGGAACACGGTCACAGAAGAGCAACGAAGTCAAAGGGACTGCAAAACAAGACATTTCTGGAGCAAGAGAGGGAACAGGCTGTTCTGTTGGGAAGAGGCTAAGGGGTCTACCTGAAAGGAGGTGGCAGTCAGGGGGCTGCCAGTGGAACAGCTTCCCTAGGGAAGCGGTGGAGTCCCAGCCCCTCCCTTCCCAGAAGTATTTACACTGCAGAACCTGGTGTAATGACGGAACTTGGTAGCTCAGCCTGATCATCGTGAAGATGTTTTACATGCTAAGCAATTCTATAGTTCAATAATTAATCTACAGTCATAAGCACACAGACACCTTTGTTCCAGTGGGAACTGAACCCACCCTAGCAGGGCTTCGGTAGCTTCCTCTTTACCTCTGCTATGAATTACGTGAGGTAAAGCCATGTTCACTTGTTTGATGAACAATAAAAGTGAATGGTTTCTTCTCTAGAGTGCACAGAAATTCCTCGTACTGAATGGAACAATAATGCTTTACAGAACTGCTGATACTAGCATCTCCCACTCCACTTTCTGACACTAGGAGCACTGGAACAGCTTGCCCAGGGAGGCCGGGGAGCATCCTTTAATGGAGACATTCAAGGCTCATCTGGACGCCTACCTGTGCAACATGCTGCAGGGAACCCACCTTTGCAGGGGGTTTGGCTCAACAGCTTTCTGGGGTCCTTTCCAACCCCTGCAATTCTGTGAAAAGTACTTTTGAAGAATTGCTAGTGTGGGTTCAGGACTGCATTATATTACACTAGACCTTCGAGGAGTTATGCAGAAAAGTACCCCATTTCTGCCTAAGGCAGCAGTACGCTGCAACAGCAAGGCCTTGAATGACAAAACCAGCCACTGTCCCCTTCCCCACAGGGCCAGCCACTTACCCACTGGCAAACATGTCCAAGGCCAATACGTGAAGCTTCTCCCGCTCAGTCAGAGGCTGAGATCTCGACAGCGTCATCATTGTTTTCAGCGCACTGCCCAGATCTCTGTTGAGCCGCACTGAGCTTCCAGTGCCAATAAGCTCCAATCCGTTAGCAATGACATGTCCCATGACTATGGAAATCAACAAGTCACATCATGAGCAGTACAGCAATGAACCTAATTCATCTCTACGAGAGCATGAAGAGGGTTGGGTTGCCTTGGGTGAAAATGGGTCCCCTCTGTAGCAAAGACTCATCAGCTTCCAGTTTTCATTGCCCTTCAGGACAGGCATTACAGAGGACTTGAGTGAAAAACACGGAAACATCACCACAGCCTGCTCCCCCCTCTAACGATGAATTACAGAATTCTACCCCACACACCAGTTGCTACTTGCCAAAATGAAGTACAGCGAACACAAAGAAACAGGGTAGAAGGGCTGCTCCAAAAGTAATACCTCCCATTTTATTACACTGATCCACAACATGGAGGTGCAAATGAAGCAAAGTAGTGCCCCTGAATTCCTCCACGTGGAAGCAATGACAACTATGGACCTTACTGACGCTTGCTGAACACTTATGGAGACCAAACAGTGGGTGACAACACAGCGAGTTGGCAGGTGATTCACTTCAGCAGAGCCAACAAGAGGCCACTGCTGCTAGTGCAGATTTTTACGAGCGTGGCACACAAGCTCTCGATCGTCCCTGGAGAAAATCCATAGCCAGCAGTGGTCACTATGTTGAAAAATTCTGTTTTGTAGCAGAAAAAGAGCCACATCAAACAATACTATCGTGCTCTTTGAATCCATTGAAAGTTAAATGGAAATAAACAAGAGGCATTATTTTGGAGTGATTTACGTAGCATCCAGCACTTCCCGTGCAAACAGCTAAAGGTTACACTTACCAAAATTTGGATCTGCAGCCTTTAACTTGGAAAGACACCCTTCAATACCTCCTAGATTCTCATCGTTGCGCCACGTTGCATACTGCAAAAGGGACAGACAGTGCCAACGACACTGGGCATCTTCTCGTTCTCCCACACAATGACAGAATGGCTTGGGCTAGAAGGGACCTCCAAGATCATCTAGTTCCAAACCCCCTGCCACTGGCAGGGTTGCCAACCAGTCCAACAGGCACTAGATCAGGTAGCCCAGGATCCCAGGCAGGTTAAAGTTAAAGGAAGCAACACAAAAGAGAATCTTTACACGTAGTACACTGAGTTTACTTAGGAAGAAAACAGAGAAAATGTCTTCTTTAAGGTACTCTGGCCACCAGCAGAACTAACAATCTTCAGTTTCTAAGCAGCATACGTCTCCTCCATGATTCTCTAGTGTGAGGGGTGATAAGCACACCAGCTGAAGCTTTTCCCTCAGCTGCAACACTCAGCAGAGCTCCCTGCTAACTGGGTTTTCTGCTGACAGCCAGTGGCTGAACTCAGCCTCAGTCTCAGGCTCTGGTTCCTCACCCTATTCCCAGAAAATGCGCGAGAGCGTAACACCTCTGAGACCACAACTCACCTGTTAGATTTGACTCTGCTGTGGGAAAGAGTCTCGGGCGTGCGTCTAAGTACACACTAGCAGTGACTGCTTAAGTGTTCTTTCCTCAATCGATAAAACTAGATCCATCTTCGCATCTTCCAGACAGTCAGAAATTCAAACGTCAGCTACAGCAAAGACTACTTGGTGCACAAGACCCTCCTTCTCTTATTTTTGCTTCATGTCATACCTGGCTTAGCGCAGCATCAAATAGCTTACAGGCTTCGTTGCTAGCGGTCGACAGCCCAAGTCCAGCGTCCTGCCAGGCCTGCACAATAAACAAAAAAGAACTGCTTATTCCATGCCCTGCTTGCCCACACACAGCCAGCAGACTTCAAAAGCGATGATTTGCTGATGCTTTTCAACTACCTTTTCTTGTTGTGTTCTTGTGCTGTACAGACAACTTGGGCAGCCACAGAAACATTTTCTGCAGCCGTAATTACATGTGACATTACGTTATGACAATCAACAATCCATTAGCTGTGGTTAGCAGTGGGGAGGAAGAACCAACACACTGTAAACGGTAAAACTTAACGGCCTACAGACCTCCAAATGCAAGAACGATTCTCAACTCATTATGGTTCCCTTTTGACAAGTTCCTCTGCTGCAGGCACACCTCATGTAGAACTGTCACATGCTGAATGAAGGCCCTGGTTTTCTGCACCTCACAGCAGAGCAGTGCTTTCCCACACAGGGTGGCAACGCAACCACGAATTGGTCACCACCCAGGCCCAGGTGCTTCCTTTGCCAACTTAATCACACACTGAGTTCCATCCTTGTCAAAACCAGTAGGTAGACCGGGAGACATTTTAAAAACGATATTCTAAAGATTTCTCATCGAAATTTCGTTAAAGGCTCACATTCCAACCATTCAAGTACCGGAGAGTTCACACTGCACGCCTGGAAGTACTCGACAATATCAAATCACAAACTTTTTCCTTTTCTTACAACACGCAAGCGTGAGTTCAGAAAGAAGCGAGCAGAAAATCGCCGAGAGAGCAGCCGAGGCAGGGCTGCAGCTCACGGGTTACCTGCCTTCCCCCAGAGGGAAGCGGGCAGCACTCAGCCCGCCGTCCGAGCCCCAGGGCGAGCGAAGCTCCCCAAACAGCGCCTCTCGGGACGACCCCGGACGAGGCCGCACGGCGCCAGGCCCGGCTTCCCGCGCCCCTCCCAGCCGCAGCCGCCGCAGTTCCCAAGCACGGGCTCCTTCCGCGGCGGTGGCCGAAGCACAGACCTGCTCGCCCTCGCCGCCCACCCTCCCGGCAGCTGCGGGACCCGCGGGCACAGCGGGCACAGCCGCCACCTGCGGCCGCGCAACGGCCCCTCGGCTCAGCTCGGCTCGGCTCCGTCGTTGCGCCGCTCCCTTCCGGCCCACCCGTACCTTGCAGTCCCTCAGCGGTGCCATGGCCGTCCCACAAGCCCCTCTCAGCCTTCGCCCGAGCGACTCCGCGCTTCCCACAGCACGCACGACAAGGGGCCGGGCCGGGGCCGGTCCTCCTCTCGGCGCGGCGGCCCCGCCGATCCACCCGCCGCGCTGAGCGCCACGCGGTGCTGCCGCCTGCCGCTCTCCGTGCGGTCCGTGGCCCCTTTCGACAGCCCGTCCCAGGGGCCGTTTCGAAGCCGACGTGGTTTTTTGGCAAGCCGCGCCATGGAGGAGGGCGGCAGGTACCGGTCTGCACGTAGAACGTTCAGGATTCCGAGGTCGCTAGCTGACAGTTGGCGCAACGCAAGCAGCAGCCGCCGGCTGGTCGCGCCGCCATGCCGACGCTTTCTCTCGCCCGTCGTGCCGCCACGCCGACGCTTCTTTTTCTGCTCCAGCTGCTCGCCTTTTCCCTGCTAGCCCTGCGAGCCTGCTCTCCGCGCATGCAGCCGCCGCCCCTGGCGGTCAGCTGCCTCGGAGCTCCCGGGCGCGGCTCCGCAGGTCGCAGCGGCGACGGCTGGCTGTCCTGCCTGGGGAATGGCACCTTGCGACTGCGGTATGTATCCAAATAATTTTCTAGTACGGTTTCTCTGAGAAAGCAGGTTGTTTTGGCAATTCAGTGTTGCAAGCCGGAGCAGAGAGGTGATTGTTCCCCTGTACTCAGCACTAGTGAGGCCGCACCTCGAGTACTGTGTCCAGTTTTGGGCCCCTCACTGCAAGAAAGACATTGAGGCCCTGGAACGTGTTCAAAGGAGGGCAACAAAGCTGGTGAGAGGTCAGGATACAGGGCTAATGAGGAGAGGCTGAAGGAGCTGGGAATGTTCAGCCTGGAGAAGAGGAGGCTCAAGGGAGACCTCATTGCTCTCTATAACTTCCTGAAGGGAGGTTGTAGTGAGCTGGGGGTCGGCCTCTTCTCTCGTGTCACTAGTGATGGGAGCAGAGGGCACGGCTTCAAGCTACGGCAGGGGAGATTCAGGCTGGACATGAGGAGGTATTACTTTTCAGAAAGGGTGGTCAGGCACTGGAACGGACTGCCCAGGGAGGTGGTGGAGTCACCGAGCCTGGGGGTGTTCAAGGAAAGGCTGGATGTTGTGTTGAGGGACATGGTTTAGTGGGAGCTGTTGGGAATAGGTGAACGGTTGGACTGGGTGATCTTTTAGGTCTTTTCCAACCTTGGTGATTCTATGATTCTATGGTTCTGTGACAAAACAGTGTTACATTTTTGATCCCCTATTGCCCGCCGCTGATCTCTTTCATCCCTGGTTCCTCATTGGCTGAGTAATGCAGGTTCACACTCTTTCCTGATACTTCAATACTAATCATACAAATACCAAGTAGACACAAATCTTTGCCGCCCAAACACAAATGTCTTAATTGCTTAATTGACTTCTAACAATTGCTTTCTTAACAAACATTTGGTCATAACTTTTCGGACGTCAGGTTTACAACATAAACATAGACGTATAGACACAGCCTCAATCGTTTAATTACCCCCCTAACGTTTGTGTCCTTTCACACTGGGTCACTGTTCTGGTCATCCATCTGTCCCTGCGTAGAGACAAGCTCGGGAGGAGGATAGAGGGGAGTATCTTGGAGCCAGTGTATGGCATCCTAACATTCCCACAGAGTGGGACAGTTCTGCTCTGTGTAAAGGCCCTGACTCCTTGAAAGTCTGTTAGATGTATTTTGCTTCTGCCGCACTAATGAACAACCTCACAGTATGTCTCCTAGTTCAGAATACTATACTCATACTGGTTAGAACATTGCAAACCTATTGCAGCTTTGTGAGAAAGTGTTTGTTAGGTAATTCGGTAGCCATGTTCCTAATATATGTTCCTAAGATGTATACGGTATTCTTACTTTCCACGTCAGTTATTTCTAAGGATATGTTACAGCTTAATTCTTTAGACCAATTGCCCTTTTCAATGCTCAATGCAGAAACAACACTTTCCACAGGTACCGGCCAGCCCCAGGAGCGACAGCGGAGGCAGAGAGCACAGAGAGGCAGCCTGCCTCCCCGCCGCACTGCCGCTGGTACCTGAATTGGGATTGGGTGAAGAACACCTCCCTCTGGTCAGGGCAGCTCACGCTCCAGTCAGGCCTCTCCCTGGGAAGCGCTCTCTGGCCGGTGGCCTCCAGTCTCATTACAGTGCAGTGCTCATCTGCCTCATGCGCCGCACCCGAGTGCCTTTATCGCAACTTGAGCATTGAGATGTCAGCAAGGTGGGCCGCCCAGAAGAGCTCACACGCATACCGTGATGGCACGAGAAGCGCCGCCTGCTTGTTCCATTGCTCTGCTTTCCCCGGGGATCCTGAGAAACACCAAGGGTTCGTGGCAAAAGTGAGCAGCACCCGAAATGGACTGACACCGGCTCTCCCCAGCGTCAGGGATGACACTTCAAAAGCAACAGAGCTGGCAGTGCTTCACCAGGAAGCAGCCTGCAAATTCAACTCGGTTACAATTCAAAAACCTTCTCTTCATACCTCTGTCATACGTCAGAAAAAGGGGAAAACGTTTGAGCTGTATGCCAGAGTGCTAGTGGACTGCAACCTCCACGTGTCCATAAAGCCTCAGTGGATATTCTATGCTGTTAAGGACATGAAAACTAATCCAGACTGGGACCAACCTTTAAATACATCAGCGATGCACGGTGTCAACACAGTACAGCTAACGGTTCCCAGCTGGACCTTGGATTATGGAATGTATCAGGTCTATTTTACTGCTTCAGTATACGTGCTCGGGACCAAAAGATCCTTCAGTAAGACAGACAGGGTTTTCGTCAAGATAGAGAGAAGTGATCTTGTGGCAAGTATTGCAGGAGGCAACTTCCGGACAGTGGGCTTTTTTGATAATTGGACTCTCGATGGCTCCGTGTCCTACGACCCCGATTCACCGGAACGACTAAAGGGACTCACGTTTACTTGGTACTGCACTAAGAAGCTATTGGACTATGAAAGCATGAGAATCAGTGCGGGAAATAAATGTCATCCAGCCCAGAGGGATTTGAGGTGGCTGACATCTTCAGGGGCTGTTCAAGTGCTAGCACCGGAATCGCTCCCGGGAAACACTGTCTACCACTTCCGTTTAGTCATTCAAAAGGATAGAAGACAGAGTTATGCCGACCAAAGCGTAAACGTGCAGTCTGGCTTCTCACCTCTCCTGGATGTGGCGTGCCTTGAAAACTGTGGCAGCGCTGTAATTCCGACAGAGAGGTTTACGTTGTCAGGCAGATGCCTCAACTGTCAAACAAGCAGCCAGCCAGTCCACCAGTCATCGCTTTGGGTGGAAAATTCTTCAGAAATTAGCTTTGACTGGTCTTCCAGAACCTCAACAGGTAAGTTTGGTTCTATACATGCTCTGACTTTTACCCGTAGTGCAGATCAATCATACATACTGCTACTACAAGTGACTACCTGGGGCGGTAGGTCATCCCTCTACAGATATGCATTTAAAGTAAACTCTCCACCCAGGGCTGGCAAGTGTAGCGTCAGCCCACACCGCGGTACAGCTTTCCTGACAAAATTTATTGTCCAGTGCAGTGGATTTTCGGACAGCAACTTACCCCTGACTTACAAAGTCATAGTAGCTTCCGACGTATCCAAAACTGCCAAAATTAACTCGGTGGAGGACAACACATTTGGCACAATTGTGTACTTTGGCTATCAGCCTAGAATGCCTCCATCTCCCCTCCCAGTTGGTGTCCCCTCTCGGAGGTACGCTCTGACACTGTACGTTCAAGTGTGTGACTCTCTGGGGGCGTTTACCCAAGTGAGTCTGCATGTCAGAGCACAGAACCCAGTGAGAAGTCGACCGCTAGCTGTTGTGTTTCATGAACTGTTTGCCTCAGTGAGCGGTTTAAGTGCGCCCATGACAGCTTATCTCCAGACCGGAGACTACTTTAATGCGGGTTATTTGCCTTATCTTGCAGCTTCTGTCCTAAACTACATCGAAGCCGCACCAACACTCCCAATACCCAAGGCTCAGTTGAGGGAAAGCCTGCTTAAGGCAGCCCTGAATATTTCGGTTGAGAGCACGATGGAAATTAACCAAGTGGTAGCCTCTCTTTTTCAAGTCACAGAGCAACCTGAGGAAGTGAATGCTCGATCGCAAGAGATTGCCATTACAAAACTGACTGAAGTAACCGGGGTGTTGAAAACACAGAGGAATGAGAGCTGCTGGTCTGAACAAACAGAAATTCAGACCAGTGGAATTCTAAAATACTTGTCCAACACCCTGAGAGCTGCTCTTTTGCGTGTCAGGAAGATCATTGTTAGTGCAGTCACGCAAGTCTTCTCCATTATAAAAAAAATAACTGAGATTGTTTTCCAAGTCCCTGTGGAGGAAGACACTATCATGGAAGCCAGCAACTGGAAAATCACTTTGATGAAGGACGAAAACTGGGATGTTGCAAATGCTTTCTCTACCACAGAAGCCTGCAGGAATTGTTTCTATCCAACACTAAAAACTGGAAACTCTTCAAGGTTGTCTTACGATGCCGTCATTTCCACTGCCCTGTTTGAGTTTGATGAAAACCCTTTCCCTTGGTTGAATTATACTTCAGAAATTGCAACAGCCATCTTGGGCTTCAAAATGGCAGAGGCCAAGGCTAATGGGGATTTGCTAGGGATCCTGCCTGAAGATGCTTTTCACAACATGACAGCGGTGGCAAGCAAAACCAAGGCAGTGGATGAAGAGTGTAACATCAAGGCTCCTTACATCATCTGCCTCACCGAGTCAGTGCTGAACGTCGCAGCTCAAGGAAGCGGTGCCCAGAGTCAGAACATTTCCATCGTCTTGCTGACCCCCTACATCACAAGGTATCCAAACATGAGACTGGTGAGCATACACACTTTTAGCGATCACTGCTTGTTTCTGGGGGGAGTTCAAAATCAGTGGAGGGAGGACACGTGCAGACTTGGTTCCCTGACCAACTGGCAACGGGTACACTGTGTCTGCAGCATGAAGCGGAGTCACAGGAGCCGGTCAGTCCTCACTGCCTCAAATACATCCACACTTGACATCAAGTTCCTGGCAGCCAAAGTCATTGTGACCCCCAACAGAGTAGATCTCAAAGGAAACCTAATAGCGGACCTCCCTAAGAACCCCGTGACCCTTCTAACAGTGCTCTTCATTTTTGCAGCCTACTTTCTTTTGTCTCTGTGGGCCGTGCGGAAAGACAGGGCTGAGATGGTCAGCAAAGACAAAATTATAGTTCTGCCCGACAACGACCCCTTTGATAAAGTCAGCTTTTTGGTCACTTTGTACACCGGCAGTCGCTGGGGAGCTGGAACCAGCGCAGATGTTTTTCTTCAGCTCATCGGCCAGAACGGCACAAGTGATATCCACTGCTTGCGGCATCCACAGTTTCCTGCTTTCCGTCGAGGAAGCACTGACTGTTTTCTCTTGACTACGAAGGAAGACCTGGGAGACATCTGCGCCTTCAGGGTCTGGCACAACAACAGAGGCCCATCGCCAGGCTGGTTCTTAAGCAGAGCCAAAGTTGAACACGTGTCCGCTCAGAAGACCTGGTTCTTTATGTGCAGGAAATGGCTTGCCCTTGACAAGGGAGATGGCTTACTAGAAAGGACATTTTCCGTCACCAACCCAAAAGCACCTCTATCCAGAAAGGATTATTTTTTGATTGACCTGGCCAGTGGTCTGAAAGAGGGCCATCTATGGCTCTCCGTTTTTGCTCAGGTTCTCACTGGCACTTATAGCAGGCTCCAAAGGTTATCTTCCTGTCTAACAATATTATTATTAAACCTGTTCGTTAACATTATGTTCTTTAGTGCTGACAGGGATGAAGAATCTCCAAGACACCTGAGGTACTTGAGATCAATTGCCATAGGCATTGAATGTGCTTTGATTACAGTACCTGTGGAAATGATTATAATGGCCTTATTTAAGTATTCCCAGAAGAATCCAGAGAGAAGTCTAACTCTGCTTCCTATGAATCTTAAAACCTGGAGAGTACATTCGCAAAAAAGGAAACGTTCAGAAACGTCAGCACAATCTGGTAGCATTAGTTCCCCGGAGAACGTTGCTGCTCACAGCGATTCTCAGGGCCCGATGCATAACTTGAGGAGAAGAAGAACTGAGGGAAAGACGAGAAGCCAGGGAGCTCCCCAGAACAGCAGTAACTGCCCAGTTTCTGAAGGAGGTGCAAGTACCGCCGGAGACAAGGAGCAAACAGGAAAGAATTCCTGTCCAAAGGTTAAGGCCAGGCAGAGACTACCATCAAATTCCAATTTCAGCAATAACTGCGCAAAGGAAGCAGGTAACTTGCAGGAAGAAAGCAAGCTACTCAGCGTTAGCTCTGTGCCTTTTAGCAAGAGACCACCCATAGTTTGTTGTTGGTGGTGTGTCTATCTCTCGTGGGTGTTAGTGATAATTGTAAGTGGGGTATCGTCATTTTTCATTGTACTGTATGGTTTGTCTTACGGCTACCAGACTTCGCTGGAGTGGCTTTTAGCGTCGGCAACTTCCTTTATTCAAAATGTGTTCTTTGTTTCAATCATAAAAATCAGTTGTTACTCAGCTTTGAACACAGTTCGTCCGAAATACTGCGAAAACATTCCATGGTTTACCCAGGATCTCCCTTCTGAGATTCAAGCAGAAAAGGAAGCAATGAATGAAGAAGAGATGCGGGAGAAGCACTTCAAGCTTGCCCAGATCAGAGACACCGAGCAGTACAAGCCTTTAAAAGATGAAGAAATTGCAAAGATGCTGGAAACGGCAAAAATTAAAGTCAGGGCATTCATTTTCATAAAAGATGTTATCGGTCACCTTGTGGTTTTAGCAGTTGTCTTATGTTTTGCTTATTCTACTGTGAACACTAACAGTTTCCACTACAACCAATTTATTCAGAACCAGTTCTCTCCCAGACTCCCTGCTGTGGTTAAGCTGGCAGATATTTACACGTGGGTGAACGACACCTTCTTGCCTTTGATCCACAACGACGTTCAGCCAACTTTTCTTACCGACAGCTCATCCAAAATCATCGGTTTGCCTAGGATGAGGCAAGTGCGGGCTAAAGGTACTGAGAAAACTTGTTTCCACCCTCACAGCTTTGTAAATAAATTTGTAATCAGTAAAAGCCACTGCCTTCACAAATACGGCAGGGACCTCGAAGAGAAAGGTGACTATGCTGGCACGTGGACAAAAGTCGCCAACCGTTCTTTTTCCGAGGAAACCAGCAGTTACCCTGGGTTTACTTACCAACCAAACAGGGCTCCCTGGACTTACTTCTCATACGGAGATCTGCACACATACGGACCAGGAGGATACACGTTTTACTTTTTCCCTGAAGAAGGAAGACGTAATTCAACAGCAAGGCTGGATTTGCTGCAGGAGAGCAACTGGCTTGATGAAAAGACCTGGGCTGTGATCATCGAACTGACTACGTTCACGTCTGATGGAGATCTCTTTTGCAGCACCTCAGTCATGTCTGAACGGTCTGATTTTGAGATCATAAAACCAACTTTGTCAGTACGCTCTTTTGCTGTCTCCATTTTCCATCAGCAAACAAAAGGTCAACAATTGTTTTTCCTAGCTGCTGTTGCCTTTCTGCTCATGTACGTTGCAGATGGCCTCTACAGCATGGTCCAAGGAAAAAAAAAATACTAAAACTATTTCCAGGACAATCAGCTTCATCTTAAAATTGGCATTCTTCCTGATTGTTCCTTTCCATGTTTTAAAGTTCAAGATGGGAGCTGATATCGTTCATTTTTTCTTACTTTATCCAAACGATTTCATTCCTTCTCACGCAGCTTCTCATCTAGATCAGAATCTAAGGAATACTTTGGGCTTTTTGGCATTTCTTGCAGTTTTGAAGACACTAAAGTATTCTCAATTGTTTTACGAGGTGCGTCTGGCTCAAAGATCAATCTTGGCAGCCCTTCCTGGGATCTCCTCAATGGCCTCTGTGGTGATGGTGTACTTCTCTATCTTTATGGCTTTTGGCTACCTTGTGTTTGGCCAGCATGAATGGAATTACAATAATATGATTCACTCAGCTCAGACCGTATTCTCTTACTGCGTGTCTGCTTTCAGAGATACTGCATTTTCATCCAGCAGGCTGATGGGTGGTTTTTTCCTCACCTCCTTCCTGCTGGTGATGACCTGTGTTTTGATCAACCTCTTCCAAGCTGTTATTATGTCTGCCTATGGAGATAGGAAACAACTTGTCTGTGAAGAACCACCTGATGAAGCAAGAGCGGTTGCTTTCCTCCTGCAAAGGATGAAAAAGATGCTGTGTTTTCCAATCTGTAGAACGGCCAAAAGAAGTGACCCCAGTCTTTGCCACGGTGTGCCCAACGGGCAAGCTGAGAAGAGAGTTCAGTGACATTCGGGCCTTGAGAAAAGAAAAGCAAACGGGGAAAAATGGTTTGTCTTGTAATAAGAGCAAAGCAAGATACTATTTTCCAGACCACCTCTAGTCTGTAACACTTGTGTTTCAAATAAATGTTTTAAATTATTTTCTTGTGGTTTTTTTCCATGGATTTTGTAGGATTTAAACTTTTGTTACTGAGATTTTCTCAGCAGAGACAAATTGTGCGGAGGATATTTTGCACCCATTTCAGCAGCACGTGTTGCTGGGGTGCAGTCTGCTGACCCAGCTGGGAAGGTAAGTGCCCAGCTAGTTGGTTGCTCACTGCCTATACAGCAGGATGGGCAGGGAATTGGAATGGCAAAGTAAGGAAAAAACAACACGTGGGTTGCAGCCTGTGAAAGAGGATTTCTGAACCCCTCTCTTTATTCTCCCTGGCTCAACGCTCCCTTTGTGAGGCTTTTTTGGTGATAAGACTCTATCTGAATACTGGGAATTTTCTAGGGGGGCGAGTGGTAGGTGTTACTGTGCCACATTACTTGTGGTCATGATTGCAGAGATAAGCAGAAGGGGGGCAAGGAGCCTTTTTTGGGGTGTGGCTTGAATGAGCCGACCACTGCAAAAGGAAATAATGCTTATGCACCAGAATAAACGACAATGTATTGCTTGTTAGATTTATTACTGTCACCGGGAGTGGCGACACCAGGCCTTCGGTTAATACGGCGCTGCCCCTTTAAGGAGCGCGGGGCGCGTCCCCGCGATGTGACGCCTCGCAGTCGAGGCGGAAGCGGCGGCCGGCCGAGCTGCGCAGCTCAGCCATGGCTTCCGGTTGTTAGCAGTCACGAAGCAGTGCGGGCGCCGGCCGGCTGCGTGCCCGGGGTCCGAAAAACGCTGCCGCTTTTCTCCCCGGCGGCCGGGATCTCCGGGCCGCGATCGGGGAGGGCCTTGGGACCCCGTCCCGAGGAGCGGGCCTCGGGGCGCCGCGGCCGAGCGCGGGCGGCAGCGGCAGGACGGAGCCCCGCGCCCGGGTGGGAGAGAGGGGCGCTCGCAGCGGGGCGGCGTGCCGCCGCAGTGCCCGGCCGCCGGCGAGAGGGGTGCGGAGGGGCCGAGCCGGAGAGCGGCCTGCCGCGCGGCACGGGGGTGCGGTCCCAGCTCCCTGCTGTTCTGCGGGGGATCTGCGTGCAGACGCTCTCCTTGTTTGCGATAACGTGGCGGCCGCGGGTCGCTTCTCCTCGCTTGAGGCTGCAGCTGCGGGACGCGGCCCTGAACAGGATTCCCGGAGAAGTGAAAGGCGGCCGGAGGGCAGCGTGCGGCGATGCTGGTGGAGGTGCGCGGAAGAGGAGCTGTAAGGAGCCTGCAGGAAACCTTTGTGTCCTGTGCAACCTGGGTGTTTCCAGGATAAGGCCGCACCAACCCGGGTGCGCTTCGGCATCGCGGCTTTGCACTCAGAACCGCAGAGCTGCGGAGACAGTCGGGCACCCGGCTCCTCTTTAAGAACGAGGAGGAAGCAGGAAGTTTGCAAGAGATTTGAGAGACAGTTGCACAGTTTCCTTCCGAATTTGCTCTGAGAACCCCCAGTAAGTATCCCCAGGTCTCAGTAATGTAAGAAACGGCCTCCCTGCTGTAGGAGAGAGGTTGGTCGTCTCCAAGGCACTTGAGCAGGTAGGAGTCTCGGCTCTGGCTACGCTGCAGAATGCCATCAGAGCAGTTGTGCCTTTGGTGCAATGGACAGAATGATGCCTTGAGCTGCCTGCCATCTCTGTGCACCTGTCAATCAAAGAATTAGATTTGTGTCCTGGTAATCATTACCCCAAACAGGTCTGTGCGTTGTGGAGTTTTTTCCACCAGGATTTTCCCCCTGCTCTAATTTTACCAATAGACCAACTTGGAAGGACCAATGGCAGCGAACCAGTGCAAAGACAGCTCGTGTTGATTTCTTTCTCTTAACTGGTGTGGAATACAAGTTGTACTGATACAAACCCTCTTGGCAAACTAATTATGCGTGAGGGTGTTACGTTAACTGTACCCCTACACTTGCAATAGTGTATTTTATATGGACAAAATGTATGTCCTTTGTGCTCCAAGACTCTGTCCTGGAGGACTTTGCTAGACAAATACCACAGAAGCATTACTCTGTACGTTGCTTCAAGTAGAGGAAGGATGTACATGTCTACAAACATGGCATACTTGTATAATCAGGAGCAAGGCAGGAGTCCCTGCCAATTCTGGTCTGCAGATCATGCAGTTATTAACCCAGCCTGACATGGGACTTTTCTTGCGGAGTTGCTAAACTTTCTAGCTTGTGCATTACCCTTGCACTGCCCTTTTTTGCTGAAACAGAACTTTTACTGCCAACAAGTCACTGAACCAAACATGCCATAAAGAGTGCAAACCTTGGGATGGCTGGGGATTTTTTTTTTTTAATTTATTATTTCTTATTTTTCCAGAATATAGAGAGAGGGGGCCATTGAGTGTTCTGTAGCGTTCCTGTTCCCAGTGCCTGCTGAAGAGAACTCCTTTTACCTGCTCTGTTTTTTCCTTTTACCGACCAGCTAACACATGAGCCACGCTGTCTCCAAGAAGTCTCTAACTACATGCCATAATAATTTTGCCCTATGTCATCTTCTCCTGCCTGCTCAGAATGTGGAACGTGGCAGAAACCCCTACGTTGGGTATTTGTTTTAACAGATATCCCCCACTGTTTTAGAACAAGCAGTATTTCTCTGTCCTATGGAAAACTATGGAAGCAGTTTTTGTAAGCGGGCTGTGATAGCTACTTGGTAAGAGTGTCAGGTATTGAAAGAAATAAGTTCAGCCTTATTTCTTTTTTTTCCTCTTTATTTATCTATCTAGCTATTTATTTATTTATTTTTTAATGCAGAATCATTCAGGTAATGGTTGTGAAGCAAAGTTTTTCAGAGAGTAAAGAGATTAACCTTCATACGTGCTAAAAATCTACAATCTTAGTGCCTGGGCAATTTCACATTATGTTGCTACACATGCAGAAAACAGGAATTTACGGTATTTGTAAGTGAGGAGGACTTGTAGCTGCTAGTCCATGTTTTAGGAACTGGTTTACACTGTAGGCTGTAAATGAAATGGAAAGAAAAGCATAAAAAAACCCAACACACCAACCCATTCTCCCCCAGAATTTGGGAACTCTCAGCAAGCACACTGGAAAAGGAAACTCTCTAAGTGAGAGTGGGCTTCTGTCCTTTATCAAAGGTGCTGGGGATATCTCTCGCTTTGGTGGCTCATGCTCACTGATCACAACAGCCTGGACAGTGAAATCTGAGCACTACATCTTTCAGGGGAAATGGTCTTGCCTGCAAGAAGGTCTGTGGGGCTGTATGCATTAGAGTGTTATGCATATAGTAGGTACAGCACTTTGTTCTGTATTCTTGGGATTTTTAAAGCTGACGATATGTACCTTATACCACCACACTCATCAGTTTTGTGTTTTGTTTTCTAAGGTGTTGCTTAACTGGATTATGCAGTCCTTACCTTGGGCTCAGCTCTAGCAAACTGAGAGCACCAGTCACGTTTATTGGAAAGAATTCTATTCCCCAAGTTGCTTAATGCTTAACGTTTTGCTGATCTCAGGGAAAAATCAAGCACTGCCTCTTACAGCAAGGACACTGTAACATGTAACCCACATAGCAGAGGGTATTTCTATCAGAACCAACTTTGCTTACTCTAGAGAGATAAATCACCAAAGCTATATTTACTTCTTTCAGGATTATGTCAAGTTGCAGTGTCTTATTATCTGATACACTGTTCCCCTCCTCCCGTATTTCCACGAAATCTTGGTGTTCCTAGTGTTGTGCTGTTGAAAAGTGTCATGCTAAGTTTAGGTTGTATTTAACCATGCTGACACTTTGACTGGTACATGTGGTCCTCCATAACTTTTCTTAAGGGACAACTAAGGGGAAGCAGAATAGCTTACATATTAATAGAGCCTTACTATCTTCACCATGGTTATAAATCTAACAAAGCTGTAACAGGGAGCAGTAGCAGAGGGAAGAGAAAATCAGTTCAGGACAGGGTAAAATATGGCTGTAGCATGCTTTTTTGTCTGTACCAGAAGGGAGATATACTGAAATTAAACCTCAGATCTGTTTTGCCTTTTTTTTTGGCAAGGAATAGCTGTAATCCAGAACTTATGTTCCATTCAGCGTGTTCATTTGGTTGGTCTCGTGTCAGCTATTCTCCTCCAAGTCCCTGTAACTGCAGCGAGAAGAGCAACAAATTTGTCTTCTTTCAATGTATGGACCATTTTTCCTATAGAATAATTAGGGTGGGTGATAATCACGATGTAATAAACATTGTGCTCCACCTAGAAAAAGCTGTTGAAGAGCAGAAGAAGGAAGAGTAATGAGGGAGATGGAGGAAAAAAACAAACAAACAAACAAACACCAAAAAACCAGGAAAGACGATAGATTAATTTTGGGGTGGGTGGAAAGGAAGATCCAATGGTACTGCTGCTTCCTGTGCCAGCACTGTTCAGTGGCATGACAGAGATCCAACATTCACTGTGCTTCTGCAGGCAGACGTGGAAATGGCCTCAGACATGGGCCCTAATGGCCTGCCGTGCATACCTGGGCAACCTGCTTTTGTGGTATGCATTAATTCACGCTTGCGCGATCCACATAGCTGGTCTTTTACAACCGAGGCTCTCCTAACAGCTGAGTTACTGAAGCAGGAAATCTCAGCAGCTACGAATAAACACTACGGCCAGAGCTGTCCTGCTCCGACATTTCCACCGGGGGGCAGAAGTATGTGCCTGTTAATCAGCGCCTTGTTGCAGCGTTCTTGCGTGAAGCTGTTAAATTCTCACCTAATTTGAAATTCTTTACTAAGTGCTGTCTAATTCAGAGCTGGCTGGCTGCCATAGTCAAGTAAGGAGTGGTTGTGCTAGGGTGTTGGTTTTTTTTGTTTGTTTGTTTCACGGCGTTGTTAAATGCCGTGTTAACAGGTGTTCTTTTGAGATTCATCTTGTGTTGGGAAAACCTTTTTACATTAGGAAAGTTTTTGTTTTTCAAAAAATCTATGTTGCTCTGCTGCAGTATTTTCTCTGGCACAACCTACTTAAACATTTCCCTCCAGGTGCTCAGAAAACATGCTCACTTTCTCTTCTGCGTCCGCCTCCAGGGCTGGCCCCTTGGGATAACCCCTGGCAGGGCTGTTTGTCCTGCTGCCATGGGGACTCCCACTAGTTGTCATTAAAAAGCAGCGCTTGGGGCCTGCTATGTGACCTGTACCTTGAGAGAAGCCTGTGTCCTGCTGTGATCTCAGTTCCTTCTGAGCAGAGAGAGCAATACCAGCACCCAGCTGAAGTGAGAAGTTGCTGCAACAAGTCAAGTTTAATTCAGTCAAGTGATCTTTGTGCAAGGTAATAAAGATAAAAGTTCCGAATGGCCACACTTAGCTAAACTGCATTTCTAGACTAATTCTTTGCAGTGAATCCAAGGTAAATCAGCTCAAAGAAAGAGCAGGGAGGCAGGCCAGCAAGAGACCTAAGTGTGCCTTCAGGGCAGTAGCACAAAGAAACTGGAGGGAGAGAGAGCTGCTCATCTGGGATTAGTGAGCGGGAGGAAGGTTCTGCTATTTTATTTACTAGCTGAGCAGTGAGGCAGTGGATTGTTTTTCTGAAAGTGGTGAGTACGTTCCTGATGTTGAAGTGTGTTTAAACTTATTCCACACCAAATACTGCAGAATAACTTGGTGTTTACTAGGCTATGCTCCTAGCCTTCCAATAGAGAGCATTTCTTTCCATAGAGAATCAAGCTGTGAATATTTTAATATGTCATCATCGTGATCACTGAATAGAGCAGGAAAATCTTGGCAGGAGAAAGAAACGGCTGTAATTGGAGAGGATTAAAGGTGTGTCAGTGTTGGTTTTATCTGATGCTCTTTCAAATCAAAGTCTATCTGTTTGTAAGCAGGTTGTTTCTTGTATAGTTTCTTTAGTTTATTGGTAATTTAGAAATACACGAGTCTTGTGTAATATTAAGAGGGGCTTTAACCTATACATTGTGAAGACTTGTACTAACAAGGTTCCAAGCAGAGAAAATCAGATTACTTATCTGTGTCACTGCTTTGCCACTGACCCTGACAGTTTAGTGGTGATTTATTATTTCTGGCATGCCTTCCAGACCTGTTAGCAGAATGCTCCAAGCAGAACAACCCTGAAGTTTTTAGGAGTCCCTAGAGAACTGCACTGAAAGCCATTTCCTCCATCCGTATAATGTATCAGTCACAGCATGGAGAAACACTTTCAGAGCAATGCTATCTAACTTGCTCCTTCCTTTTAATGCAGTTATTTATTCAACATAACATTCAAGTCTGTGCTTTGCCTTTCACCATGACACGTGGGCCAACCTCACATCTGTCCTGCAGCGTTCTGGGCTTGACTTGGCAGGTTTCTGCTGAGCATGCTTGTTCAGTGTTTGCTTCGTAATCAAACGTGTGGGTAGCAGAACTGTTCTTTTCAGAAGAACTATGCATGTGCTTAAAGTAAGTATGTGTTAAAGTGCCTTGGGGCTTACAGCCAAGATGACAAATGCAGAATTTAGTTCTAAACAAGGTGTTCTTAAAGATTTCTTCATTACATCCCACCCAGAACATTTGGCATGTTACTGGGGTGTGGAGCTTAAAAGAGAAAGGTGCCAGAGAAAAGAGAAATGCCCAATGTTAGTACTGCTGATGATTTGAGTCGCTCAGGCTCACAGATTTGCCTGTCATTGTGGTAAAAGGATTAATCTCTTTGGCTTTTAACTTCCTCCAGAGATCCTTCATCCTGTAGTTGGTATGCTGGAGAGGAACTAGTCCTCACTCTTACTTTGTACATCTGCTTGGAGGAGAGGCAGATACTTTGTTGTAGTTTTCGTATTGGACATCTTGCTAAGATTGTGTATAAAACCAAAGCAATGAGCCTGGAGTCTGTGATCGTCTGTCTATCCCAGAAATGCTTATGTGCCTTTGTTATCTGAGATGAAAATAAGGTTCTTTAGTTGCAGATGAGCTTTTTGGAAGTACTAGAAGTTTTGTGTGAGAGTAGGATGCATGTGTTTGGTGGTTTAGACTGAAGGTGTGAAGCACATGCATAAACTAAAAGTTTATTACACCTGTCATTAATTTTTTTTTTTGCAGAAGGATGACAACCTTGCTTTTTTATGTAACAGACTTTACTTATGAATGGGAGCATTGGTCCTGAAATCTGTATGTGTGTGAACTTTGCACTGTCAGCTAACTTTCCTAAATGCTACTGTGTAGACAAGCTCTTGGAACAAATGCTGTTTCCAGTGAAGTAAAACTTGGTACAGCTGATCTGGTGACGTATAAGCCTGGATTAAAATGGAAAGCATTGTGAGTTCACCCGTGCCTTGCAGGCAGGATCATATGTTTTTCAACTGGCATAGCCAAAAATCTGTTTGTACGTAGATATCGTTCCTTCCCAGTGGTAGTCGGTGAACAGATTCTGCTCTACATCCCAGAGGTTTATAAGAGAGCTGGTGTCCCTGTATCCAACACACTTCATCTCTGAAGCCTGGGCTGTTGGTCTGACTTGGAATAAGGACACATTCATTCCAAAGTGTGTGATCCCCACTGCCATAAATATCTTTGTTTTATGTTGGTTTTTGTTTGTTTGTTTTTGTATTTAAATTGGTGTTTTGCTTTGTTTTAATGAAAGGATCACTGTGATTATGTTGTCTATTTTAATTCAAGTGACTTTCCGTACCCTATGGGGTTAATTATTTCCCCTGGTTTAAAAAAAAAAAACAAAAAAAACTGAAAATTGCATGCAGTTTCCTAGACTGAATTTGATTCAGACAGATGAGTGTCTTGGTATTGCTACCAAGCTGCTAACTTCCAGTGTGTTTGGGGGGTCTTATATGTTAAACCTAAAATGCGAGATTCAAAAAGCAGACTTCTTACTTGAGTTTGTGTATTGTTTGAAGAATCCAGATTTTAATATTCAGGGAGAAATATATAGCACATATGTGCTTTATATCTAACTGGAAAATCTGAAAGCACTTCAGTTAATTAAATTTCCTCCACATCCCTGTGGGCAAGGTAAAATGCATAATATCCAAGGTTTACATCACTTTCCAGAAAATGTAGTTGCCTAAGGTATTTAAGAGTTGCATTTATTTATTAAATTAGTATCCAGACCCATCTGTGTTACATTTGAAGAACTCGTACCCCTGAAATGCCAGGAATTGGTGGTGGTTGCAGGAATTAAATGGTAAGGGTGATTATTCCCAAAGTTAAATTTCACAGTGTAACAGAGCACGAATTTATGGACTGAATGTCTGTCAATGAGGCCTTGTAACCATTTGAGGATCTTGGGGCTCCTTGTGTTTCTGGAATATTAGTTGTCAAGCAGTCACAGCCCTGCTTCACCTTGCCCGCAATTCCCCTTAGCGCCATGTGTCTCTAAGGATTCAGTTTCACCACACAGGGTGAGCAGAAATAGCAGCTTACTGTCACTGAAAAGGGAAAATACACGTCCCTCATCTCAGCCCTCCCTTTCTAGCTCTGTGGTTTTGCTTCTTACCATCTACTGCTGTTAGCACTTGTTGGATTCCTCTGCAAGCCAGTTTAGCTCACAAAAGCAATAAGGGAAAAAAAGAAAAAAAAAAAAAGTAGTTCTTTTGACTACATAGGTAGCTAGTAGTAAATAGTATGATGCAATAAGAGCAAAGCCATGAACCCATGATGCCAGGTACTGGATCCCCACTCTGCATGCATCAGGGTATTTCCGACTGTCTGTAGTCCTATCCTGTAGACTGAATGCCCTTTAGTTGGACATTCGGATTGGAGTGTAATAAGATAGTTAATATGCTTCTGGAACATCTTTCAGTTGAGTTTTATCAGAAACTCTGGCTTGTGGGCTTTCAGACTGCTCCATGATGCCAACCAAGTGTGGTAAGCGGGGACAGTTACGCAATTAGTTTCCAAAGCATACCCCTATCCTCAGCTGAAACAGAGACATGGCCTTAGTGAATTGAATCAGCTCTGCAGGGGAAGGGTGCAGATGGCAAGCTAAGAGAGTAGGGGATGACCTGCTGTCCCTTGGCAGAAGGGAGCTGGATGACAGCTGACATACTTTCCAAATCTGAGTTCCTAGTGTCCACCTTCTGAACTACTTGATGCCAGCTCTGGTTCACTTAAAAAAGCTGACAGGTTTACAGATGAAAACTGCATGCCGTGCAAAGTGGGAAGACTTTAATTAAAAGTTGTTGTCTTGCCAGCTGCAGAGTAAAAGTGTCCATTCAGGAAAATGGTGCAGGTGAGCAGGGATTCCTGAACTGTAAACAAGTGATTACATTATATTCATAGACTGGGGCAAGTTTTGGGCACGCATGTTGTTAGCTGTGTTTGATCTGATCATGCCTACACATAAAAATCAGTCCTGAAAGAATACTTGCTGCACCGCACTTTTTGAAAACTGCAGTTTGTGACTCTCAAGTAAAGTGATACCAGTGTAGAATAAGCTCCCAAATGGAAATCCATGGCCAAAAGTTTAAACAAATAGTATTGTAAGCACTGGAGCTGACGGAGCACACCACATTTTATTTTCTGTCTTGGAGTTGATAGCTATGTCTTTGTAACAGGTGACTGAAGCCTATCAGAAAGATGGACAATAGCTTTCCTGTATGCAGGTTCTCTCATTATTAGAAATACACAGGTATTCTGAGTAAAGATAAAACAGTCTCCTTTCCCTTTTCTGCCAGTTTTCTTTAAAGGTGTAGAACATAAACATTTTTGATGGGACCTGCTCCTCTGTCCTGTCCTGTGGTTTGAATGGGCCAACACTCTCTCTACACAAGGCATGATTACATTAGCCTTGTTTCCATAAGGAGCCAGATAAGAACAGGGAGGCAGTATTAAGCTCCCAAAACTATGAGGAAGTGAACCAGATGCAAGGAAAAAAGGCACAGTAAATCTTTGCAGCACGCACCTTTCTCATACCTGCCTCATCAGTGGAGGTCCCAAGCCTTTTCAAAGACTCCATTTGTAGTTGATGGGATGAGATGAGCACTGCAGAACTGAACTGGGATTCTGCACAGCCTATGTCATGGCCTGAGAGGCACTAAAGGAGCATAGGACTCAGTCGTGTACCTTGCTACCTAAACTCTTTCATGGATCAGGTTCTAAATTAATTGGCAGATTTTTCTTTTTAGACTCCTATCTAAGAAATTTGGAAACTTAACTGGGACATGGGAAAATAACTTGTTTTGGGAGAAAATGTTTACTAGTTAAGATTTGCAGTAGCCAATTTTCCATTGGAATTTAGTTTGCAGTGCTAGATGTTTCATGTTTTAATCTTCTTGCAGGCATGCTCCCATAACTGCATTTTGGAGCTAAAATATTTTTGCTTTTTTTGTTAGTAGCTTAAAGATGGATTCTCCCAAAGAACCTGCGCCTACAGGAGAGTTCAAGTGTCAGCTATGTGGCTTAACAGCTCCATACACATACTATGGGCAGAAGCCACCCAACACACACTCTATTGTGTAAGTATAGTTTTTCATGTTTTACAGACTTCATTTATGCTCTCGGCATTGGAAACCTTGTGCTGCAGAATAATGTTTGCTGATTTAACCCAGTTATGCGCCATATTGACCATGAATCTTAGGTTTGGTACATAGTGATTTTCTTTTTACACAGGAAAGAAATTTTTTCAAGTGTCAATGTTGATAGCAAAAATAAAAATCAGCTTTCCTATCCTGCTTCAGTACTGTGGACAGACTTGTATTTTGCATATTTCCTAACTTAGTGGCCACCCTACAATTTACCATAATTTTCTTACTAGAATAGTATTGACTATCAGCACAACCTTTCTGGGAATAGCCTATACCTCACAGCTCTGTCAGCTGGGCAGCACGTAAACACAGCATGAATCTCATATGTATGGTAAATACACTTTTTAAGAACTGTTTGACATGTGAAGTTTTGAACAGCAGTGCTTTTTTTGCACTAGACAGTTCTTGGGCATTAAAGTGTGTGGCAATTTAGTACATATTTACTTTTTAGAAGACTTAAGCCTTTTCTGTCTGCCAAGCAGGAATAGTTTGACCAGAAACAATGAAGTTAGTGCTTTGTCTGCAGACATCATATTTACCACAAAACAAAGCACTTAGCTTTAAATGTGTGAGCAGTTCTTTTGAGGTCATCCTGGTTAACAAATCCATCAGGCAAACATATTCGGGAATGAACAGGAAATCAGGTGTAAACTCTGTGTTTCACCCTTCTAAGACCACTTTGTTTCTTATAAAGTTGAAGCAGCTGTTGATTGCCACCTACTTCAGCTGAGATTAGATTTGTTTTCCTTAGACAGCTGTATTTTCATCATTCCAAATCCCACAATGCTATTAATTTTTCCTTTGTCCACTCAGAAGAGGAATGGACCTCCTTCGATCACATACTTTTGTAAAGAGTCTGGATTAAAGCTGAGTGTAAATCTTAATGCTAGGTTATCCAAGCTTGGTTTTAACATCTAGACTGTAATTGAATTGTTGAGATTCAAACAGCAAAAGAATAACGATGTAGCATAACACTTCTGTATGTGCCTAAAAAATAGCTTTGCATACTGTCTTTAGTGATTTATTTTCTTGTCTCACTAGTTCTAAATGCAGTGCTACAGGAACCATATGCCAAACATGAAGGTTTGTACAATGGCCCGGACTCTATGCTGATGATGACTACATCAAGCTTAAAAATCTTGCAAAGGAAGCTTTGCAAAGATAATCCAGTGTTTATACACAGGAAGACTTGTTAAGGAGTTGATCTGCCATGTAAAGATGCCTGCTTCTTTCTAACAATGAAAGGGTGAAAGGCATAAGCCATGCCTCTTTATGAGCGAGGGGGAAAAAGGAATGCACCCACAGATGCTCATGTACGTACATGTGTCTGTATGCAGGCAATTAAAAGATGATAGTATGAGTTAACAGTATCTTTTAAATATGTATTATACTCCATATTACTACAGAATTCAAGATTGATTTATATGCAGAAATAAGCCAGCCTTGCAGGGTGCCCTGTGCAGACAGACAACAAACTGACTTCTGCACTGTTTTGCCTAGAGCTCCCAGGAAGAATAAGGCTTTATCTTTCCCAAGCAGGTTGCCAATTTATTAATAAATGCAAATTATTAATAAATGTTTCTCTGATGCAAATTATTAACAAATGTACTCTCTGAAAACTACAGTCTCTGACACGAAGAATATATTGGATCATTGTAATGCTTTGTGCTATCAGCTCCTGCTTGCTAGTGGTGAGAACTATAGCTTTATAGCGTGGACATAATTAAGAGCAGGCTCTTTTTATTTTATATTTGGTGTATGCAGCTTTGGAAGAGAAATCCTACTTAAAGTTGTGCAGTTGAGGTAATAACTTGAGAAAGTACTAAAACTGGCTGTGTGAAAGAGTGCCTGTCATGAAAGCAGACCGTAAGGAATACTTGAAAGCAAAGCACTGAAAAAATGCCTAATAAGACAATGTTGAGATTATCATCAATTGCCCTAATCTTGAAAGCTAGATAGTGGAGTATTGTTGGCAGCAAGCAGTCACAATGCTGGTTTTGAAGAAGGGAGCTGCATAGCTGCTACATTGCATCATGCAACACCAGAGGGAAGACTGCCACCCTTTCAGCCTCCCGATTTCCCTGTTTGAACCCTTCCCATACTGTGAGATTTACCTTTAAAAGTCTGAAATTATTCTCTTACAGGATTTTGGAAGACAGTTATGTCATGAAGGACCCTTTCACCCCCGACAAAGAGAAATTCCTCATCCTTGGGTCTCTGTGCAGTTTGTGTAGAAGAAGTGTGTGTGTTGGTGCAGTAAGTAACAAACAAAACAAACTTCTTCAGTCATTTCTTTTTGTTCCAGTCCAGGACCACACATCAAAAACCCAAACATCTTATTTTTAAGACTGGCTAACTGCATGTTCTTGTTGATTACCCTGTGGTAAAGCTAATAAATGGAAACAATCAGCAACTTTATGTGCTATTTACTGAGGAGCACACTCCATCCTCTCAAGCATAGTGCAGACTCTTTTCTAATTTCTCAGCACATACAAATGCAGGGGAGTTCACATACTACTTCAAGATCTTTAGGTTTCTTCTTATAGTATTGTAACAGTGGTAAATTTTTCCTGTACAGAGGATATGAACAACCATAGGTTTGCATCTGCAACGCAAGCTCACCGTTGTATTTGCAAGAGCTCATGTAGAAATTAAACAGAGAGGAGAGTTGTGCAGTGCTGTGATAGCTCTCTAAAGAAGAATGAATTTGAATAGCAGCCAGCACCAACTTTAAGCTATGAAATCTGAGCGCAGTCCAGAAAAGTGGTATAAAATTTCAGTTGTCTTAATAACTTCTCCTCAGTGCTGGGCTGGACCCTTTGTTTGCTGTGAGTTCAAAGCAAAAATGAAGACAGTTATTACACAGTTATCACTGTCTGGAGGCTGTACTGTGCTTCTTTAAGGCAGTACAATTAATGAGAAAATTCAGGTTCTACTCCTTTCCCTCAGCATGTCAGTTTTGTGGCTGAAAGAGACTTGGAACTCATGGAGTGGTCAGGATGCATGGATGAGTCAGCCCAGGAGGCAATGTCACCTGATCATTTAAATGGACTACAGCATGTATTTGTTCAACCAGATGCCACTGCCCTAAGAGTAGCCAAATCCTGGCCTTTCTTTCAAAGTGGTCATTCCTTATCTGAGATCAGTGTGCTTAAATCTGGAGTGCAGCTAATAGTATGTATCTGAGCACACCTTAATCTTAAGTGTTAGCTTTAGCAGTTTTCAAACTCAGCCTTTTCAGCCCTTTCTTTGTTTGCTCTTTGTAGGGAGTAGCTTCAGAGACATGACTCTTTCCAAAAGTAGCTAGTAGTATGAGTTTAAAAAAAAAACAGCCAAATGAAAAGAAAAAAATGAAAGACATGCACTTCGTAAAGGTGTGGAATTTTTTTCTCATGTTTGGTGGCCATTTTTCTGGTAGGACAGAGCAATATTGTTGGCATACTCAGAGCAGAAAGTGAGATAATATGGCAGCTGAGACAGCTCATATGCCAATGCCAGACAATTTAGGTGTTGGAACTGAGGAAATTCTTCTGAGATTAAAAATAAAGGTCAAATTATGCTCACAGAATTTGGAGGGAGAAACACAGCTGAGACTCTTGGACAAGTTGAAGCGTTATTCTGATTTGCAGGGAATTATTACTGAGCATGAATTTATTACACTGCTCTAAGAGGAGTGTGAAATTAGCACTTTTCTCCTGATTATGTTTGTGTACCATTTCTGAAGTCTCTTCTGTCATGTCAATGAAAGAAAATCACAAAAAGATCAGATTAGCATTTGCAACTGGGATTTGTTTTTCTTTTTAGAACTACCTGAGGATTCCTATGGGAATCAGATGAAGCCCGAGTGCTGAACTCAAGTTTCTGGAGACAAGTAGCTTAAGGCAGTTGTGTGCATGTACACAGTGTGGAGGTAAAGCTGACATGTGAGCAAGGTCTTCCTTGTGGCAGTGAATGTCCCTGTCTGGGCTGGTGGTTGCCTCACTCACACACAAACAGCCAAAGTAATAGCAAGTGTATGGGCAAGTGCAGATCACATAGTTAGGGGTAATGAGCTTGATTCTTGCCCTAACACGTCAGGTTTACCCCTCCTATGTAATTGCACAGGATTAGTAACTCAGGCACACTTTGGGCAAACTTGAGCTCTTTTTGCTATTTGCATTCACATTTCAAGTGTGTTGAACTTATGAAGGATTCAACAGATATTTTCAAGTCTGGCAATCAAATCTATTAGAAATATTGAGGTACAGCCTCTCAGTGTCCTGCCATGCAGTCTTCCTCTTCTGAATGTGGGTGTGTTTTTTTATTTTAAAAGGTTTAATAACAGTTTCAGATAATCTAGAGTGTGACAGCATAGAAGACATTAGCAATGAATAGTAAAAGCCTCTTTTAAAACTTCTTGTATCTTTTAACACTTCTTGTGCCTATTTTAGCTGTTGTGTAAGTATGTCAGGCATTTACTTTTTGTTACCTGAGTCTTCATTATTCCCCTAATGGTATCACTCAAAGCAAAATCATAATCATAAATTATTGAAAATAAATTCCTTACCAAACTGGCCAGGCCAGATAGTGAATCATGCATACAACTATGGTTTCCAAATCTATTTAGCAATGCTGCTTAGGTAACATTGAAAGAGATCTGCAGAAATGATAATTACTGCTTTAAACACCCACACCAAAGTAGGTAAATACATACTATTTCTCTTTCATGTAGGGAAGATTAGAGTGTAGAGAGGTAAAAATTTATCCAAAGCAATAGAGAGAGCCATAGTTAGGATAATATCTCTGTGGGTTGTTTCTGGTTCCTGCTATTGCTTGACCCAACTACATCAACTGAGCCTTATGCTGTTTCCACGATGTTATAACATAGGAATTGAAAGTAAGAAAATCATATTTTCTTGGTCCTTGTTGGCAAAGAGGCTGGAGCAACATGGTGGAAAGCTGTCTGTGACAGGTTGAGTTAACATTTCTCTGTTAACTCAAAATATAGTACTAGACTAACGTGTAGTAAAAATAAGACTTGTCTGATCCCAGGTTTAGCAAAGGGATTGGATTTAATTTGCTAGCTTTTGTATCTTAGAATGAGATTTTAGGCTTTTTTTGAGACACCCCGCACTAGCGGAAGTGTCTTTACAGCTGCTGTGCCAGGGGAAGTCAAGATTTATGTTCTATATGATGTTCATAAACTCACGTCTTCAGATAGTCTCTCAAGTCTCACTAAGTTATTTTACAGTCAACTTGCATTGTACTCACTCTACTGAACCAGTCTTTAGCACATTATTGATAAATAAGTTTGGTACAAATGGAAGTAATTCTAATGATTGTTTTAAAACATGCCAAAAAAAAAAAAAAAAAAAAACCACTGCAAAAAGTAGGATAATAAAAATATTTTTAAAGTCTTTAGAAAGACTTAGTTCCTTTTTCCTGTTTCTTTTTCATTAAAGGGGAAAGGAAATGATGTAATGTGATCAAGTTAGTCATTTAAAGCAGGCATTTCCTTTTATTGCAACACTTACTAAAAATAGGTTTTAAACACTTATAAGAAGCTACTTTTAAAGAAGAAATGATGAAAGGGAGCAATTTTCATCTGTTACTGCTCACTGTAGCAGGAGCTGAGTAGACGGTGACCTTGGACATGATTGTAGGTATTAAGTGATAAACATAACACTACAACTGCTTTCCACACAACTTTCAGTCATGCAGGGTCAGTCCTGAAGAAGGTTAGGCAGACTCTTTCCTTTACATAGGGTTTCCTTCATAAGTGTGCTAAAAATAATGCCGTTATCTATATTTTTGACACAATCCATGTGAGAAGAGAAATAAACTCTGTCAGTTAGCTTTGACAGCTCAGTTTTGCCTGAACTGAATGAAAATGCCCCCTCCTGACTTGACTGTGGTTGTGGTAAAACATACTAAGGAGTTAAAGAATTGTCTAGTTAAGGATGGAGTCCTGTCAGGACAGTGATCAAAGGAGGGCTTGGATATACATAATGAATGTAATTTGTAGCAGGTAGGCTATGTTATCCCATGACTGAGAGAGGAGTCTGAGGACTCCGTCCCTGGAGGTGTTCAAGGCCAGGTTGGATGGGGCCCTGGGCAGCCTCGCCTAGCATTAAATGTGGAGGTTGGTGGCCCTGCATGTGGCAGGGGGGTTGGAGATTCATGATCCTTGTGGTCCCTTCCAACCCTGGCCGTTCTGTGATTCTGTAAAGGTGTGTGTACCCGCAATCCGGATGCGTGTGGTTCATAGGCATGATTCTGTGTAAGCCCCCTAAGTAGAAATCAGCAGAAGCTGTCAACTCATTTCAGCTAAAAGAATGCAGATTGAGCGCCTGTATGTCTGTGAGGAGCTCGGTCTTAACATCTGAGTTTCTCATCTGCAGAGTGGGGCAAAAGCCTCTCCCGCCTTTGCCACTGCTGAGCAGTATCCTCAGGTGCAGTGGCCATCCCTATGGAGCCATGAAGTTAACCTGAGGGCCTGGGGAGCCGCATGCCGTATTGTAATACAAGCAACAATAGCAGGGCCAACTTACACTCTAATCCTCCCTTTTTAACTGGCAGCTTAATGTATTAAGGATATCAAAGGTCAAAAAACAATAGGCTGTGAGACCATGCAGGGGGCTTTTCAGAGGGCCTCACACAACTCTGAATGTGAAGAAGCGTGACAGCTGGTGCAGAAAAGGACAATAGATGAAGAGAATTTGTCACACAGAGGCAAGGAGACTGTGATTTTGATATAATCGAGTGGTACCTACTGTTGAAGTGCGGAAGGTGAGTGACAAGGGAAACAAAAGTGAGAACAGAAATGCAAAAGTATCCAAACCAAGTTCTTAGAGAAAGGCCAGCCACAAACATCGTGGCAGGAGGAAAACTTTGCCTGAAGAGCAAAACCCTTGAAATCTACTGCACCCAGAAAGATGTCCTGATCCACCTGAACTGATGTCTTTATTCATGCTTAAATCCCCAAGAATAATCCATCAGTAACACCGCTCTAGCTTACTTATTAAATCCTGTTTGGAATTCAGTGATCAGCACGCCTGGAGAACCAAGAACTTCAGTCTCTCTGCAGGGCAAAAGAGTAACACTTCAATAAGCTTCTCCTCCAGTTGTCTGAACTCTGCACTGCAAATAGATTAAAATATTCCAGCAATTTCCCTTCTTCCCATTCAATAATTCTAGCATCTGGTTAGAGCTAACTGTGTGGAAAATAAGTATGGGGTCTGTAACACTCTTTAACTAAATTAGATGTGAACTATGTCAGATCACAGAGCCATTCCATTTCAAGGGCAGGAAAACATCTTTGAGCACAACAGATTCTAATACTTTGCCTTCAGTAACTGCAGCAAGAGATGTCCACTCAACCTTTAGTACGATGCATGGTTTTGGTTTTTAATCAGCGAGTACATTTATTCAAGGTAAAAAAGGTTAAAGGGTGAAATCTTGGTTAAAGGATGAAATCTCAGTTGAATTGTCTCAGCTGAATTAAATTCAGTTAGCTATTCTGATTACTGGACATCTCTGTGATATTCATATAGTATACTTTAAGTATTCTCCTAGGGCTATGCAAACATGCAAATTACAAAGACAAGTTTTCGGGTAGTTGTGGAAAAATATGCAACTGAAGTCTCAGAGCTCACTGTTTCTGACCTACATTCTTTGTGCTTGACTTTGCCCTTCTGCAATTCTCCAAATTGGCAAGAAGAGCTTTCTGAAACTTCAGATCTCAAATGCCAGTTCAGGAAGCTGAAAGATCTTCCCAGCAGGGAGAAATCTTGGGGAGATAAATGAAGATTTAGCAACAGAGAACTTTGCTGTTTAGGTGAAGCCCACAGAATCTGTTACTCCCAGAAAGATGTTCTGATCTGTCTGATGTCTTCATTCCTGTTTAACTCTTCAGGAATAATCCATCAGCAACAGCAGCTTGGCTTACCCATTACACCTTGTTTGTAATTTAGTGATCACACGAGGAATGATTCTTGAAGGAAAAAGCAAACTGCAAGGAAATTGGTAACTGTTTACTATAGCACTGAGCTGATAAAGGTCAGTCCTTTAAAATAATTGTGTATTTGGTAAGCTTTTGTTACAGTCCAGTTTTTATTTTTCACTCAGTACCTCAAGTAAGATGTTAGAATTACTGAATAGAAGAAGCAAAATTGCTGGAGTATTTTAATATAGAAGAATAATTTAATTCAGAATAAAGATTCTACATATAAATGTGGTTCAATGAGAGTGGAACTTAAGCAGTTCCATTTTGTGTATCCAGCTAATACTGTTTTCTTTACAGGAATGTAGTCTGTTCTACACTAAAAGGTTCTGCCTCCCCTGTGTGAATGAAAACTTACAGGCTTTTCCTTTGGAAATACAAGAAGATATGGATAAAAGGAAGCCCCAGTCAAAGTCTAAGAAAAAAATGGATTCAAAAACATAAATACTGAAAGACCAAGAGAGAGAGACCGTTCTTCGGCTGAGCTTTCTCCTCTCTCCTTTTTAAGACTATCGTGTTGCTCCTTTTGAAGCAGTGACCTTCATTAACTCACTGCTACAGAACACAGCTACACGTTTCCCACTGGCTTGGCTTCAAGCATCACCATGCAGCAATTGCAGCACCAGCAGAATGGCCTTAGGGTGCTGGAAAAGCAGAAGGAATGTCAGAAAGGCCTGTTTGTTGCCTTATCAAATGCATGTAGTAAAAAACTGAACAGCGTTAAAGCACAGGAACTATATCCCAGTTTCCCATCTGCTGTTTTAATGTTTTGTATGGTTCTTGATAATCCTACAGTGTTATGAAAAATCTGAGAGATTTATCTGACTTAATTCGCTATACGTCCAAGAATGTAAGTAGCAATTGTGAACCTGCCATTGTTAGCTTGGTAAGATTACAGTGAGGAAGGAAGTCAGAGCTTTATTTTTAAGTCCAAAATGATACTGGTGGGACAAAACGTCATAGATAGCCACAGAAATATCTAAATTCAAAATTCCTGTATCAGTACTATCACAGAAAGTACATGCTTTTATAATGGCAACATTTAAATTTTTTAAAATAATAATTTTTAAAAGGATACAAATCTGCAGTCACTTTGCACTCAGCTTTCCAGTCCGTCTCTGCACAGTGATAGAAGAGGTTACTTTGTATGGTTTAATATGGAAATCCAGCTACTGAAGTCAATTATTTTCTGAAGCGGGCAATTGAACAATCAGGATTTGAGAAACATAGTTTTAGTAAAAAATATATGTATAAAAAATTGCTAGGAGAAAAAGCAATTTCTTTAGTCTCTATATTGGCATCATGAATGTCTGTGCCTTGACTTTGCCATAATTACGAGGAAAATTTATATGCTAATATAGTCAATCAGTCACACACCTTGAGGATATGTCCAGAGTGCTCCATAAGCTCCGCATTCATGCTTTTATTTTATTATTAAAAATATTTGATTTTTTTTTATTCATGCTTTTTTGGTCACTGGTTCAGAACCAGTATCAATGCCTCGGTTAACATTGCTCCTTTTCTCTACTCTTTCAGCTTTGTCATTTGTTTTATACGCGATCCTTTTAGGAGGATCAGCCATGTATCTGCTAGAAGAAATCATCATAATTTTGATGAGTTATTTTATGTTATTTAAGACTTTCTAATGTCCTGGAATCTTTCACTGTGTTTTTTACTGAACCTCATGTATTGGTTTCTGCTGTTGGAGAGTAGAATTTCTTGCAGTTACTAGAGGAGCAATCATGGATATATTGCAACCTTTTTCAAGCTCTACTTTGCACTTGAGTATGAAATGCATAGATCTCTTTAGTTGCCTAAAAAAATTCTTGTTAGAACTCAACATTTCAGATTCCCTTCTGCAGTAGTAAGAGGTTACTCTTTCAAATAAAGTGATGTGCATCTTGCTTAAAATTGGTGTTATTCAATTTCAGTTCCATGTTACACACAGCTTCTCCCCCCCCCTCCTTACTTAACACAAGATCCTATGGTATGTTTACACAGGCAAATGTCTTTCTAAAACATTATCTAAGTTTTTATTTTCTTCATTTCACAATGTTTGCAGCAGGTTGTATGTTAACTCTTAGCCTGAAAGTAGGTTTTAAAAGCCTGATGAGTGCAGTTCACATCTGAATGAAAATGTGCCTTTGGGCTGTGAGATACCTGAGGCCTGGGAGGTGCACCCACACGGTGCTGGGAAGGACCTCTGCTCTCTGAGCTGTTTTTCCTCTAATTCAACCTACCGTGTGCCCTTCTGTCATCTGCGATCCTTGTGCTAGGAAAGGAAAGCTGGCCTACCTGTGATTAGAGACCTCCTGTAATGACAGCTATTATCTGTGTCTGTTACTGCTTGCATATTCTGCATTCTGATATTTCCTACTGAACGTGGGCATTATGCTCTCTATCACAATGTGTTGGTGTATGTGTGATTTTACAGATTGAATGCTGTCATCATACCTGAACTTAGCACAGCTGAGCAGCCGCGAGTCCTTCTTTACAGGATGCACAGAGCCTTTACAGTTGGGTTTTATCAACTTCTCTGAGTACTTTCTTCTGCTGAAAATGAGGCCCTCAATCCTCCAGCACACAGATGATGAAAAAAAAAGTTTATTTACTCTGCTGTGATTTTCCTTCAGCACTGTTTTACCACTTCAATAAATCCCTGGGTTTGCAAAGGAAAGAATGCATATGTATGCTACGCACACATCCCTAACAGTTAATCTACAAGCATCCACACGTTCTAGATACTTCAAATAGTATTCTGTCATTAAAAAACCCTTGTAATACCAACACGTTATATAGTAAGCTTATGTAGTACTTTTTTTTAAAAACAGACATTTGTTGCCAGCCCCCACAGTAAATGCAGCCATTCCTACCAAAGCTCGCTTTATCTACTCCTGGTCACTCGTAGAAGTACTATCCCTGGTGTGAAGTTGAGCAGCTGAGTGCTTTCTGAAGCAGAGCCCTGGATATCAAATCAAGGCAAATTTGTCTGAATTATTAATTAACTAGAAGAGCACTCCTGCCACTGGTGCTGTCTCAGAAGGAGTGACGGCTGCCATGGTGCGCAGGCACATCACCACCACCCGCCCTGCACACCCGGGTTCTGACTCTGCACATGTTGACAGGAGCTGCCAGGTGAGGACATAAGCTGTACAGGAGGTCAGAGCAGAACTATCTTAGTGTACTTAAAAGCTATTGATGCATGTATGGTTATTGGAAGGGATTCAGTTAAGAAGTGGCAGCTGCTTCGGATAAAGTACAAGAGGCCACCAGCGGAGTGTAACAACTCTGCCAGTCTCAAAACCACAACAGTAGCATTACTTATTTTCTGGAAATGAAAGATCAGCACAAGTCATTAGGTTCATTTTAAAAATACTTTATTTTTTTTTAAACCATTAAGGCAAAAACGTATTGCAAATTAATCGTGTTTACATTCAATCTTGCAGGATAACTTTTTTTTTTCTTTTTAAAGCACAGAGGTTTCCAGCAGTCTCTATACAAACAGTGAATCCAACCATTTATGTTTTAAAGGAGAAGGAAACAAACAAACAAACAAAAAAAAACAATGTAAAAAAGTTCCAAGCTTTTTCATTCTATCTCGGTAGGCCAGTAACATCTGAGAAGCCACCATCACATTACACTAGATGTAACTTTTACATTCACGCATGTAAGTGACTTTGTCTTTCCTATAAGACCCTGTGAGCCCAGGGCTGCTGTTCTTTCCTGGAAATCCCGTCTGCATTTTGGTCTGACAGAAAGACCCTCTGGAACCCAGAGGCACTGGGTGGGATTTCACTGAGAAACACATTCCATGGGAATCAGGTTTACTATTCCCTTCCAGAAATGCCAGCTCTTTGCAATAAAACACACCCCAAAATTCCTCTAAAAATAAATTTTAAAAAAAAAAGACTGGAAACAATGATTTGGGTTTTTGTTGTTTTTTCTTTTTCTTCTTCAATATCATTATCTTGACATAATTAAACACTTATTAGCTCTACCGACTAGGATTTGGCAATGCTAACAAAAATGTGCTTTTTTTCTGTCGTAGCAGATGACAATTTAACACACCATGAAGGGTTCTAACATCGTGACGTAATTGTTACATTCCTACAGAAAATCAGAGTGATTGTATAGTGAAATATCAGGAGCGATATGAAATGCAGCTCATCTGAGAAGCTGATACCACAGATAGTGTCAAACAGCAACGGGGGGGGTTCTTTTTAAAATCTGCACTATTCAAACTTAGATCAGCTTTGCTGTCACTAAGGGAGCCGGAAATGTTCTTCCACTTCCGAAACCAGAGGAAAATATCTGTGGCCACTGAGAGGAAGCCACAGCCTCCCACTGCCAGCCACCCCACGGGAGCTGTCCCTGCAGGGAGCGAGGTGAGGGATTTCCTTGAAGCAGCCTCTTCCCATTCTCTGTGTGACTGTCGGGGACATAACGGCGCAGATGAGCGGATCTGCTCCATCCCCAGCAGCTCCGAAGTGCGCTGCAGGACCGACGGGGCAAAGGCGCCGTGTCTCCGTGAAGGCAATTCCGACACCGGGCAGCGAAACTTTCCTGTGGCACGCAGATGTGCCTGAGGTAGGGAAGCCTGGATGTGGATGGCTCTTTGTGTGGCAACTTGCATATGAATCACCCGGCAGTTTTGCTAATCTTACGATTCCCATTACACATCACCAAAGAGATTTTGAATGTTTATCCTGCACTCCTATGCAGTAGGAGGAGCGTGTGCCACTATTTTGGTTGGCTAATATTTACCACCACCATTTTTTTTTTTTTTTCTCTTTCAGGGGTGAAGAATGCCGTAAAACTTTTTGCATTGTGCTGCTTTTTTTTTTTTTCTTCTTCTTTTTTTCCCCTCCATAGTAGCAATTACAGCTCATGTGTATCCAACCTGAGAAAACATACCAAAATACTTAAAATGGCTTTTAAGTACCTTATGCCTGCTCTTGCAGTCCAGTTCATTCTTAAGGCCCAGCCTGTAAGGAGATTAATCTCTCTTGTGCCTGCAGCCTACCCCTGGGGCAGAGGCAGCCCAGCTGAAATTGAGGTCCTTGCAGTAGAAATTCTGTTTTGAAACAAGGCTTCGGCGGAATCTGATGAGATAACACTGATGCAATCAGTCAAGAAGATTAAGGGGAAAAAAAGGCTTCAGAAGCTGAAGAAGCTTTAAAAAAAAAAACAAACTGTAAGCACGTTAAGGAAACCAGAAGAGGAATGCCTTTGCCCTAGGATGGATTTAGTTAGCAATGCATTTATATGATATATTTACAGTGTAAAGTGACACATTTGATGGTAGCTTTTAAAGTTTTTTTTCCATTGCTGTCTAAGGAATTCAGAAAAGAAGCAGCCATAAGTTACATTTCATCCTAACCCAGACTTACTTTAAGGAAGTCTATATTCTGTGTGAAAATCCAATTTTCAATTTGGTGCCAACTGTCAATGCCAAACGGTGACAAGTTGCAGAATTTATGATAGGAATAAAACTCACACAGGAATAAATAGATGCTTGCCTTTGACTTAAGGCCCACCACCCTTACCCATAAAAGTAAATCTTTCCTCACTGTACAAAAGGCTTCACAAGATAAAGTATGAAACAAGTATTTAAATTAAATAATTTACATATTTTTCTTAAAGTACCTCTGTAATATAATTTAGTGAAAGTTTATACCTTGCAATTATATTCTGATATTTTACAAATCAAAACGTGAAGAAATGGTATTACATTACATTAAAAAATTCCATAGTACATACGATCAATATCTCAGATCAAACCCACATATAATTTAAATCTCTAGTAAGAGGACAGCAGAGCTAATTAACTCTAGATTAAAAAAATATATATCCAACTCATTATCAAGAAAGCACTTGAGATATAAGCAAGTACCAGATACCGTACTAACCCTCACATTTTGACATTTACTAAGGGATCAGGGTTTTCAGTGAAGGTCCACTCTTTATAAGAACTTATCCTTAAGTAATAACCCGACAGCTGCAAATGCATTTGTTAAAGGCAGTTGCAGATTTTCTACTAAGTAACATGGTCGCTTTTAAGGAGAGACAGAGCTGAAATTGTTCCTCTTTAGACACAGTAGAAGCAGCTACAGCACAATCTCTGATTTCTTTGTCTGACACGATGCTCAAGTTGTCCAGGCTTTCCATTAGAGATAAGGAGGAAGTTTCAATTTACCAGTGTGTGACCCAGCTCCCGTGATGAATAAATCTCCAAAGCTTTAGCAGTTTGAATAAACAAACAAATGTTTGGATGCTTATTATAAGCTCTTTGATTTGCAAACTTGCGCTAGCTCTCTCATGAGAACGGACTTAGTGCAACTGCTGGTATTTCCTAAATCTGTGCAGGCCAGAAATAAAGCTAAAATATGCTCTTTGGCAACACTTCAGCTTTCTAGCAGCTGGCTAGAACCAAAGCACAAAGGCACATGGAAATGACAAAAGAAGAACACTTCTTTAAATGCCAAGAAAGATTCAATTTCTGTAAATGGAGAACATTCCTATCCATTGACAGTCAATTTGTGTTTTAAATAAAAGTGGATTTCCGAAATTTACGTAAGGTACAATGCAATGTTTTGTTTTTTTTCTTAAAGACAGCTGTGCACTACCAAACTGAACACAGAGTACCTTTAAACAATATATTATAGAGTTTGAAAATGAGTACTCTTAATTATTAGAAACAACCCCCCTTTTTTTTTTTGCTTTTTCTTTTCCCTGCCATTAAAGTACCTAAGGCTTACCAATAAATCAAAAACTAAGAAACAAAAAGACCCTCCAAAGTGAATAGGTGGTAGGTTTATTGAAATCCTAAATTGCACCATTGCTCCTTAGGATCCCTATCTACCTGCTGCCTCTGGTTGTAAGCTCATTCCCACAGTTAGGCACTCCTGGTC